TATATAAATCTTTAAGGCTAGGTTAAAATAATAAAGGATTAGTACTATTATAAATATAATTTATAGCTCCTTAAAAGCCTTATCTGCCTTATCTATCTAGCTAAACTAATATAGTAGTTTTCTGCTAGTTTTTAGCAAATTAGTTAATTCTTTTACTATCCTAAAGTATTTATAGATAAACCTCTGGTAAAAGTTAGTAAAACCCAGGAATACTTAGACTTTTCGGATATTATTCTTTAGGGCCGGCTATTTCCTAATAGCTATAATCCGGCTAGCTTCTATTTCTATATTATCTAGGCTAATTATAAATTCCAGGAACTTTATTTTCTCTATATTAAACTTGCATTTTACTAAGTTTATAAAGAGCTAGTATTACTATAACTACTCGAGTATATATCGGACTACTATTATATACTATTCTGAATTCTCTAAATAAATTAAAATATTATTCAGATAGACTATATAAATAATATCTATAAGGCCTACTAATATATAGTTAATATATGCCTGGAATATTACCAGAGTATTAGATAGTCTAAAAGACATAATATAGTACTTAAAATATTTATAGTATATTCGGAATACCGTTTTTTACTTATTACCCTCCTGTATTTATAACTAATAGTAAGTATCTTTTAAATCTAGCTTTATATATATCTTTATTCTATAAAGCCTATCTATTATCTTACTAATAAGTAGTAATAGTATTCGGTTCTTAATAGTAATCCTATTTAGACCCCGGTAGTTAATATATAGATATAGGCTGCTTCCTTTCTTTGAAATAAATATAATTAGAGTACTAGCTAGGCTAGTAAAATAACGGATCCACTTCTTCTCTAAGCTAGTATTAAGATATTCCCGAAGGATTTCAAGCTCTCTCTCTAATAAAGTATATATAGGACTATATAGTAGTTAGGATCCTGGTTCCAGATCTATATAATACTCTATTATATAATAATCAGGTAGTATACCTATAGCCTCTATAGAAAATATTCGGAGAAGGTCCTAATACTTCCTGGGAAATATAGCTATCCCGTTTATAGTAATAGTAATAACCCTTTAGCTATCTATTATAGGATAAATAATTAATAGAAAAACATATACCTTATACTTTACTACTTTAGTAAACTTCCTGGTATTCAGAACTTTAATCTTCTATAATTAAATCTAATATCTCTATATTACTTCCCTAAAAGAAATTAAGGAATTAATCTAGTAAAGCTATAGGAATCCAAGTATTATATTAATATAGTTCAGATTAAAATCATATAATATAAAGTATATATTAGCCTTCCTTTAGTTCCCTAGTATATTCTCGGTAGTAACCCCAAGAATATAATCTCTATATAAATAAATCCTCCTTTCCTCTAGTAAGAATAAGGAAGTTACCCTTAATATTAATGGAATACCTATATCTAAGGCTAATCTCCTCTTTATATAATTAGCCTTTATACCCGAATTAACTAATACTCTAATTCTTTACCTACCTTTCCTTATCTTAATAGTAACCTTAATTACTATTCTCGTTTCAGGAGCCTTGCCCTCTATAGTATAAATAAGTATAACTACTATAAGATATACCCGTTTCCTGGCTTTTTTAGTTCTAGGTACTTATATATCTTATAGCCAGACTTATTATAATTATAGCAAGTCGGTTTTCCCCGATTTGGGCAAGTAATAGTATAGTAACCCTTCTTCTAGTAAGTAAAGCAAGTTATATCCGGTCTTATAAATCCTAATACAGGTACTATATTAGATCCCGTTACTATACTTTTACTACCCCGGTTATATAAACCTCGTAATAGGGATATACTTCTCTTCCGTTTCCCTTTATTATTCCCTCTCTCCTTTCTCTAATTTCCTTTCTTTTATTAATCCGTCGGCTTATTATTATATTCCTATTAAGCAAACTAGTTTAAGTTATTCTCGACTCTTATAGCCGCAGAAATAAGCTTCTCTCTTTCTTATAAAGTATTCCCTTAGTAATTAATCTTATTCCGAATCTCCTATCTCAAGCTACTAAATAAGTTATCCCGCTCTCGTAGCAAATCTATATATCCCAAGTTATCTAATAGGCTATCCAAGTAAAATATAAAGCTTTAGATACTCTAATCTAGCTACTATTTTGCATCCTTGAACTTGGCAAGGGCATTATTACTATAGTTCTCCAAATCCAAGATAGAATCCTTTATAAACTCGATAAAGGTCTCCTAATCCGTAGTATTAATACCTACTAATTACTTCCTATACTTCTAGATATTCCTGGCTATATCCTTAAAGCAGGAAGCATAATACGTAACCTTTACTATATCTATAGCCCAGGTAATCCCGCTATCTTTATACTATTTCAGCTCCGTCTAGTAAAAGAAGTCCTGGGCTTCCTTAATACTCTTCCCCTTATAGGTTAGTAATTCTCGGGTTTTTAGAGCCCTGCAAACCAAACGTACCGCCAGTAGCATAACAGGTTCTATAATAGGTATCCAAATATTCTCAAGATAGCAAATCTGAGCTTCCAAATCCTCCAGATCCTCCCTCTATTATATCTCTGCTTCTAACTCAGTAATGCAACGACGAGCCGCCGCCAGCTTCTCCGTTATTATTATCCTGCCAGCTAGTTCTGGGAATATCTGAGTTCTACTCCCTTCTCCTAATTAGACGGTAGCTAAAGTGGCTGACTAGGTACTCCCCTGGATACCCGACTGGGTCGCCCTAGCAATAGCAGAGGCGCTTCTTCTAGTTAATACTCCAGCCATTAGTGGTTTTATCTATCGACGGCTTAACTACCTCGCAACGAACTGCTTCCCGAAGATTAGATCGATTAGAATATAAGGTACGTAATAGCAGGGTAATATACAAGTAGTCAAGATAAGTAAGCTACAGAGTAACGCTTGCAAGTATAACTAATTCCAAGAATTAATTCCAATAAAAGACCAATTAATGCCCCTTCCAAAGCTAGGAGCGTCTCCCTATATATTCCCTAGTACTTAGCCAGGCATGCGAAGCCCTTTACTTAATTAGGAAATCCCATGCGATCCATACGATTCCGATTGCAAGCTGTACCCAAAATAGGAAACTAGATCCACGATATCTAATACCTGTCCATACGCCATCACGTGTGCCTATTACAGTAGGAGTTTTAAAGAAAGCTTTTAAATTTTTAAAAAACTTTTAAAAGCTATATAATTATATAATAATCTAAAAATAAATCTTAATTGTCCTTTTTTAAAATTAAAAATATTTAAAATTAGTTAAGGATTAGTAAAGTTATAAAGAAGAGAGTTAGTTGTCTCAAAATATCGTGTGACAATGACTAATCTGACCTGATTGTACCTTTCTGTTAAATATCATCTACGGAACTCTCTCCATCCTCTCAATATAGTCGACTCTCCACATTCCCAGCACGTTCCAACCCAAACTGGAGCAGTGAAAACCAGGACAAACAATGGAGCGATATCAAAACGTAAGGATTTTCCACTGTGGATGCGGCCATAACACCCAGAGACTGACCCAGCAAGGTTATCACGACCCGGGGCTGGTGTCTTCAAGAGAAAACAGCTCTGTTAGGTGTGTAATGTACGTTTAAAGAGGGAAGAAGAAGGAGCGGGGAGCTCGAGAACTAAGATACAGGGTGTTGTGAGGGGGAAAATTCGCTTGAGCCTCAGGCACACGTTTCGCTTAATTATGGCGCTAAGGAGTATTTAGCCTCGCTCCCAAGCTTCTACGAGCTTCACGCTTCTCTTCTAGAATTAATCAGAGTTCTAGAGATCTCCTTCGTATTACGTGACGTGTGTTTTACCCGGTAATTCGTTAACCTGGTACTTGGTTCACTTCTGCCTATTTCTTCTGTGGATCTTCAGTGTCGCGCGAAGCTAAGTCACGTGCGACACAACAAAGGTAAATTGCACTTGCGATGGAAATTCCAAATTCCATGAATTCCAGCATCAGGGTGGGGATACGGCTCTGCTCCCTTCGCACTGAATGTGAAGCCTTATTTAATTTTCGGAAAGTGTCGTGCATGTCTCCGAGTTGCAGAAAATCGAAACCCAAATATGAACGAGCCAACTTGGCACGTCAATCCCAGCGACGATGCAGGAGTTGGAACCCCGGAGTGTATTCGACAACAGACACTGCTACACAGGCTTTCTATTGGAGGTTGAAGATTGAAGAGTAGGAACGTCTGACAATCTTGCCTCTTGCCAAGGAACGAGAAGAGAAGGAGCACGATTCAAGGAGGTGGGAGAGGAGAATGCCATGACGCTGATTGGGCTGCTTAATGTGGTACCATCCACAAGCATCATGGGCAAAGATTCTGGACCTTACGGATGATTCTTAAAGCGTTGCTGCAAACTCCGCAGAGACTACTATCAAAGATTGCAAAATGTGTGTGTTGGATATGTGGAGAGAGGCTGGGTAGATATATGCTTGGCGAGAGGAATATAGATACGAGGACTATGCCTTTCGGGCAAAGCGGCATCATATTTGGTTTCTTTTACAAAGAATGTGTTGGGAAGGCACTCGTGAGCTACCGAGCTTATCCGAGTTGGTTCGACTTGCGCTCTGTCAATTTTGTGTTGAAGAGTTCGGCCAATGATTCCAAATAGAGGTGGGATGAGAGGAAGAAAAGGTGGTTTAAGGGTGGATGGGTACGTTGACTTCAAGACTTGTCTCGACGGTTCGGAATTCTTTGAGCTCTATGGGAAGGAGAATCGGTGGGGAAATGAAGTTCGAGGGCGAGGGGCAGTTGTTGTGGGAGGAGGTTAGTCGTTGAATCTGTGAGCTAGAGTTAGACTCGTCAATTAGAATGATAACCATTCTTGTTGGAATGCAGCTGGGCAGGTGCTTACTTTCTGTATGATGACCTGATTTCATAATCAAAGCTTTACATGCTATGCTGTTTCCCATTAGCAATGAACATATTTAGGAGAAACTTGACTCATTCGACCGCGCCAGCAAGGCGAGGTTCAGCACATGTCATGAAAGAGAAACGTCAGAAATTCAATGGTTCAATTCAGTTGAATTCGTCTCCCTAAGCAATCCTCTAAACGCCCGCCATATGCTCCTGAACTCCGTAGGTTGTCGAGGGTGTTGCTTGCAGAAGAGAGGCTGCTCAATTTTCTGGTATTGATGGTAATGGAAAATGTATGTCCACGTCCATGCCACGCTCCTCCAGGATCGGTCCCCAGACACGTCTCTGTACCTCCGGCTTCTCTACGAAAGCGCGCGGCATTGAAATCCGTCCGACTCGCTAAGCGAGGACAGGCGCGATTTTAATGCTGCATTACAAAAATTCTCATAATTCCGCCTTATATTCTATTATTATAAAACTTTCGCCCAAGTTAGATCTGCTTCTTTTTTATTATGTAAAGCACTTTTGAGGAGTTTCGGGCGTTCTATTGAGATTTGGTGTGATTTTCTAAATGTAACGATTTTGGTGTTCCTTGCATTTTGGCAGATGGACGGTTTTTAACGCCGCGCGCTTTCGTAGGTATCATCTGGCAAGTCTCATCTGCTCCAACCGGTAATTCCAAACCAGCCTCTGTTGACAGAATTAGCACTCGTAAAAATAAAAAAAGGTTCGAAGAAAATATACTCACACAAAGATTCCTTAACAAGACGGCAATGGTAACTTTTCCGATCGCGGGAACGTAGAAAGCGGCGTGATCTTTGACCGTCGCAGCATCGAAGTTCTTCTCGCTCGAAATATTGATGCATGTTGCGCCGTCCTTAATCAAGTCTGAGTCGATTTTGTAATCACCAGGTACACCACTGATGACTACGCTGCTGATTGGCAAGCAGTCCCGAACAGTCCAGCCCGGCTTCTCGAGAACTTCATGCTTATGGTTCTTGATACCCTTGCCTCGAGTAAACAACTGAACCCCATCAATGTCAACCGAGTAGACCTTTGCACCATCATTCGCGAGGAGGGCAGCCAATGGTCGACCAACGACTTCTGAGCGGTTGATAACTGTAATCGTTCGACCATAGAGGCGATTGCCGTAAGGAAGGGATGAGTGGTAGATTCTGAGGTGCTCGAGGACTTTAACTACAGCGAGTGAAGTACACGGAAGGATTGACTTTCGCTCGTTGTGCGGAGGATCAAGGAACCGGATGTTTTGGTACATGTTGAACGTGTACTTGTGAGTAAGACCCTCGACGTCCTTGTCCAAAGAGACTAGTTGTTGGATGTATTGATCTTGACGGGATGCTTTGGGGAAGATTGGATAGTAAACAATAATGCCATGGACAGACTTGTCGACGTTCGCAGCGAGGATTGCTTCTTCAATCTTTTCCTTTGTAACCTGACGGAGCTCAAATTCGAAACCGCTGTTGAAAATAATTAGCAACTTGAATAAGAGGGAGGCTCCCTCCATGAAGCATGCTTGAAACGCTAATAATGCGGTCTAAACTTACTTCTCAACACAAGTCTTCGCGCAGAAATCCGCGTAAACCTTCGCAGCGGGGTCGTCATTGGCAAGGAATCCAACCAACTTAAAGACGGGATTGTGGAAGTTAACGCCATATGGTCCGCCAAGTCTGGTATCACTCATCTCCAAAAGGGTGTGTTGGATCTCTGCCAGCAAGCCTTTGGCAACAGTTCCAGCCAATACCACCTTGCACGTTTGAGCCGCCTTTAGCAACTCAGTCGCGTTCTTGGGATCGATCTTGTTCTTGATGGCAATCTTGTCTTTGGTGTCAATCTGATCCTTGGACTCCATCTTTGGCAACTCGATCGCGTTCCTGGGGTCAACCTTGACTTTGGTGTCAATCTCGTCCTTGAAATCCATCTCGTCCTTGGAGACAGTCGCACATGGAGCTACCGAAAGGCAATTACTGTCTTGAAGAGGTGCAGGTCTGAAGAGAGTGGCAAAGCGAAGCTGTCTTGCAATAACAGATCGCGTTTTTGTTCATGCAAGGGGAAGGTTAAATTCCGAGAGGAAAATTCTGTTATCGCGATAAGATGGAGGGGTTCTTTTGAGGGGTCCCTTGCAGCACTCGCCGCTTTTGATCTATTGGTGTGCAAAGAGCCTGGACGGACACTTCACTAAAGCGGCGAGCAGCAATGCTTCCGACTCGACCTTCAGTGCTCAACCACATCTATGGCCGCAAAAGAAAATTGATGCACTAACTAAACTGGGTCTCTCAAGAGCTCCTGCCTTTAGTTCTTTTATTCTCATTACATGATCTCATTAACGGTAATCCATTCAGTGTTTGTTACCCTTTGTCCTAGCCGAAGTTTCCCCAACCATCGGGCGGTGAAGTTTACGGGTCCGTGCACAACGATTCTGCCAAAAAACCTCAAATAGGTCTTTGTCAACATAGTCTCTCTCCATTCTCTGCACATCTTCCCCTCCGACCCGATCACCACTGCACAACACCCCTGTGCACACTCTTCTTTGAAATTCTCCATTATCATTGCAGCCCTGGATCAGGTCTATGCTAGGAGGGAGCTACTACTACATCTGTTGCATGCCGCTTTGATTTCAAGAGAACCAGTGTCACTTTTCACAGTTGCGACGGCTTTTGCTCGGGATAGAGATAGCTGCTTTGCACAGCGAGACGGATTCGTCTAGTTACTGGGACATTTGCTTTATTAGTTGTGTGACGGCACCGTCTCGCTCTTACAGCAGTAAGATCACCCTTATTTGCAACGATTGCCTTTTCTGGTACCACACTTGCTTGCTTCACGAGTTGCTTCTCTTTAGAAGGTATGTTATAGTCAAGTATGCTTCTTGTTCTCCTTTGGTGGTTGCACCTAGGTTCTAATTGAGACTGTAAATGGTCTGTCTCTGCTTTTGGGAGCTTGGCGGTGACCGTTCGCTTTTCTCGTGGTGCAGGAGCGTCTCGGCCGATCCCTTCCCCTTTCTAACCGAGGCGATACCGACTCTATTCTTTGGCAGACCTGCTACTTCCACTTGGTTCATACCAATTATCTGCCGGATTTCTGACTCATCCCTTCTTTTCATATTTTGCACGCCATTTGGTTTTGTACCCACTCGACCAAACCTTTGACTAACTACTCCCAGGAACGATATACCCTCTTTGGTCCCGCCACCATTACAAGCCTACATTATGACCGATCACATATTCAAAGATTGGATGGATACTCCAACCGATAGTGGAGGACCTACCACCGAAGAGGCAGCCATAATTGCAGATTATGTTTCGTGTAGGAACACTATCGGACAGGGTATACATAGAAATGTTGGCTAATAAAATTATAGCCTTGGATCTTGGTGTTTACAAGTTGCCAAACCTTTTAATTGATATGGGCCACTATCTCAATCAGGATTCGGATCTCATTACTGTTGCACGAGGTATGTTGAAGTGACAACGGTCAACATATTTGCACTAACCACTTCTGCTAGCTCTCTCAATATTTCCACATATTCTCGAACGCATGGGGACTGAGTTCTCACGGCAAGAAAGTAAGACCCAACCCTGATATCAAATTTCATTCATTCCTTTCAGTGCCATCTCGCTAACCCGTGGTAGCGCACTCCCTGGTTGAGTATTTCTGCGCTCGATTGGAGAACAAGGACGACGTTCTGAACTATCGGGCCGGAATATACGAGGTAGCATTTTCCCTAAACATCCTCATCAAATGGAAGTGCTTCATCCCCAGCGATGCAGGAATCGTTGCAATGGCGGTGTTCGGACTTGCAAATAGGAGTACGTTCAAGGACCAAAAGCCTACCACGCGCGTCAAGCTCTATGAGGTTATCGATTTCTTGTTCAAGAAATACCAGGCACCTCTGATTAGGGACGTCAAAGTCACACCTCTGATTTTAGGGCTTGTTTCCATGGCGGAACTTGAGAAGAATCCATCCTGCTTGGGCATTCTTTTCCCGCTCTATACGCATATCGGCAGGAACTGGCGTGGTTACCCCCTCGGTGATTCGGATTATGATGCCATATGGGAGTCTTTTATTCGATATTTCCCAGTGACCCTTGGTGGCGCTCCGCAAGATCCATCTGTTCCATCAAAGGAACTGATTAAAGAGCTTCTTCTACAATGCGTCCTATCTAGTCACCATTACGCAAAAGGAGCTGTCCCAAGATTTATCGACATGTTGGACACGAACACAGACCTTTCAGCGAATCTCAAGGTAAGAATTCATGTCACCTAAATCCCGTAGCTAGTTCTAACGTTCATCAGATTGAAGTGTTGTCAACACTCGCCGCCTGTGTTGATTCATATCCAGTCCCCACCATCGCCGAGTGGTCATCCAAGATTTGGGACGCTCTGAAATTTGAGATTTGGAATGGTGAAAACGAGGATTTTATCCAAGGTGCCCTAGAAGTGCTGCGTGCAACAGCAGCATCACTTGGGAGAAGTCAAGACACTTGGTCAACTCAAACCCCCATGACGGAATTTGTTGTAGCTGCGGCTACCGAGTGCAAGAGCCGGTTTCGCGATTCCAAGAAGCTGTATCTGGTCTCAAGTGGTCGAATTCTGCATGCAGTTGCCTCAGGTTCATTGTACGCATTCCATCTGGTGGCCAAGACAGTCTTGCCCGCAATGCATGTTATGCGGCAGGATTTGAAGTTGCCATCCGAAAAGAAGATGCTGTTGACAGTTTACAATTACATCTTAGATGCACGTCTTGCGCAGCCGCAAGATGACCCGCAACGCGACCTTTTAGTCAGAAGTTTCGAAGGATTCCGAGATGGTATTGTTGAGGTGTACTTTGACGCGGTCTCGAATATCCAGCAGGAGTCGTCGTCCTCGGACCTACCATTTGGTGTACCTGCTGTTGAGGGTCTTGTACTTCTTTCCCAAATTCCATCTTATCTCTCTGCCGTCGAACAGGGCATGATCGTCCAAGAACTCAACACTATCTTATTCAGCCCTCCCCAGGACAACGACATTCGCAATGCCGTATTGTTGTCTTTGCAGAAGATATCGGCAATGGAGCCCGAGACTTTTCACGAGATCACCTTGACCAACTTCATCGAGAAGCTACCGGACACGTTGTCTCACAATGGAGTGGAGCTTAAGGCTAATCTTGAAATCATCGCTGGGCATTTACAAGATCTGGTTGAAATCGCTTGCTCCCGACCATGTCAGAGACAGTTACATAATGGGACCCCGATCAACACGGCAAGCAGCTACTGGCACCGCAATTTCGATGCAATGGAGAACAAGCTTTTGGAAAAGTTAGACGTCGTTCTTCAGGAGAAAGGTCAGCAGGAATATGCGAATATGATTCTAGCAGCAATCTGTGGCGGTCTTCAAGTCTTCGACACGAATCTGAATTCGATACGTATCAAATCTTCAGAGCCCAGTCCTCTCGATCCCAAAATCGGCCCATACTCATACATTGTTAAAGCTCTGTTTCAAAAAGTCGTCCAGCAGAAGCGTAGTACTAGCGCTACCTACATTGGCATTAAGGAGTCGTTTGATGAGAAATTTGTTCAAATGGTTGGCCGTACAGCTATGTGGGCACTCCGTTCAAACCTTACCACAGCGGCGAACAGCATGCCCTTGAATTGGAATGCCCTCCATCCCGATCAGCCAAGTGTAATTTGGACATTGTTCACACATGGACTGAAAGATGAGTCTCTCAATGACTCCCAACAGAATCTACAGAAGGGGCCAGCGGACAAATGTCTGGCAAATGTGTTGTCGATGTATCTACTTGCAGGCCATCGACTGAGCGAGCCTTTGACAGTAAGTCTTTGTCGTCTTCAACGCGTGTATTTTGACGAATTATACTAGGATGCACCATTGCGAATAGAACCTGCAAAGGTTGCCTCTTCGATGATCCGCAACGCAATTAGTTCAGAGAGCAGAAGCTCCCGATTTGGCCGCATGTGCATGCTCTGGTTCCTTCAACTTCTTGTCAGCAAGTACAGAGCCGCAAGCCAGCCATATGCCGCCAGCAGCTTTGACGCCACTTTGCACCAACCCCTACAGGTCATGACCTTTGAAGTCGACATCTGCAGAACCAAATCTGACCAGGAAATCAAAAACACCTACCAAACTCTCGCCTACTTCACCGCTGCCTCAATCGCCTCGTTCGATCACAGCATGGAGCCTCTGGTCAACATGATGATCAAAGCCCTCTCCGATCCCAAATACGGCCGAAGAGTCGGACAAAGCTTCCGCATCCTGCTCGCCAAATCAGAAGTCATGGACAAGTTGAACTTCTGCAAGATCCGCGCTCTACGATTTCAGAAAGTCATTTCTCTCGTTGTCATCCCCCTCCAAGGCGCCTATGCCTCCCCAATGACAAGTCGTATGGGAAAAGACAACATCGTTATCGCTCTCGCCGGTGTGCTCGCCTACATGGAGCCCGATCTAGTTGCCGATGCCTTCGGTTTCAGCTCCATCATGCTCGAGGGCTGCGACAGCAGCGACGACTTCACAAAGGAGACTTTTATCCACCTGCTGCAGGTGCTGATCCCATTCTGCCCCAAGGACGCCGAGTCTCATCTCGACACCGTGATCCGTCTGATGACCGATCGGACGCACAACACGTACGACTCGCCATCCGATGCTTCTGTCCGATGCCGTGCTAAGGCGTTGGACGTTCTGATGAGACTCACGGAGCATCTTCCGGTCGCTGGACTCCTTCAGAGGAGAGCGAGGCTCATGCCGGAGCTGGATTTGGCCCTGGATGATTGCTCGAGGGATGTGAGGGTCAAGGCGCAGGTGGCGAAGATGAAGTGGTTGCGGTTGGGGACGGTGGTTTGAGTTATTCAAACCTCATTTCCTGTAAGTTTTATCCATTTCTGTCACTGCTCGATTGCTAATATTCTTTAGTGCAACAATGTATGGGACCGTCTGGTGTGTTTAAGGCATAGCGAGGCGTTGGGATGGATACCCTAGATAGATGAATAAATGATTTCTTGAGATGGCTATGCCATTTTGTGCGATGTTGAAAAGTAGTGCAAGTGAGAATGTTCCTTTCATCTGAGCTAGGGACATTCGATTTGAGAGGAATACAATGTTCCAAATTGTGTGGTCCATGAACATTGGAATTGCGAGATTTCCGGGTTGGATTCCGCAAGGGTATATCGATAGATTCGAGTCCTGTGTAGCGGCAAAGCAGATTTGAAAGTGCCAGCTTTTTGAGGACAATCAAAAGGTAGAGTGTCCTATTGTGTAGGATATTGTACCCTCATCACTTGAACAGTTTGTAAATCGCAAATATGACAATCAAAGACTCTTGGTGTTGAATGCCTAAACTCCAGGCAATGCGACCCGTTACTTTTCCCACCCTCCCTTGCAATCAAGATACACCCGCCTGCCTCCCCTATCCATTTTACGCCTTCTTTCCCCTTTTCTTCCTCCCACCAGGCGTAGCAGCCGGACTCGCGGCCACATCATCCAAACTAACCCCCGAGCTCTCTGCCAATAGACTCGCCCATTTCTCATCCATACTCTGTGTCTCCCCATCCTCGACCTTCGCAACCTTTTTCTTGCCCTCGACCACCTTCGTCGGGTCTGCCTCGCCCACAACCTTCACCCCACTCGCCAACATCTGCTGAAACGGCAAGGCGACGAAATGCCCCGCCTTATCAAACCACGCATTAAACGGCTTCTTAATGCTGACCGTCTCCCTCTTGCCTCCCTTCCTCACGGTCGTAACACTCAGATTATAAATCGGCGTGTATTTCTCCGTCTTCGACGAAACCTCGATTCGTTCACCTGCTTTATTGGTCCCGATGTATACAGAGCCTCTCTCGACGCCCCAGATCCAGTAGGTGAGGATGCCGTTTAGGAGGGCGTATAAAGCGACCGCGATGGTGGTGTAGTGCTTTGTGCTCTCGAAGCCGAGCTTGTAGTCCCAGTAGAAGGTCGCGGCACAGATGACGAAGGCGGAGTAGCCAAGTGCCAAGCGAGTATCAGAGAGGGTGTGAGATTGTGTGAATTTGAGGGAGTTGAGGTACGCGGGGATGGCGTCGTCGGAGGTGTTTTTTAGGTCTGTGAAGAATGCAGTCAGTTTCTGGCTTCTGTGGAAAGAGGGGAGTGGGAATTGGAGTAGGAGGATGGGAGAACTTACCAGCCATCGAATGCACTGAGATTTTCTCTGTTGAGACTGCCATGTTTGCGGTTGTTGCGTGAGGAAAGGAAGAGGGTGAGGTGGAGCTTCAAGTCGCGTGGAGAAGGCTGAGGGAACGTGTCTTGAACAGCTCTCGGATCGAGCCGAGCTAGCTAAGCCTCTCCAATGTCAACTTTTTGACGAGACCTCCCTTTGTCGTCGCCATCGACGAGCTTCCATATCACCAGCAACGATGGCGCAAATTCCTGTTCAGACGATCCATAGGGATCCACAGCTCTTGTAAGCGTCCTTTTGATGCAGATGGTAGAGTTGAAGGGTGTGCTGACAAGAACAACAGCTACTGGATCCTGATCCCAATCACGGTTGTTATGGTACATTCGAGATCTGCCACCTTTCAGCAGCAGATAATTAACCCTTTCTAGATACTAACAGGAATCCTCCGCCACTACGCAACAGTCCTCATGGCCACAACCCCGAAAAAGCAAGAGCTCCCCGCAATCCGCGAACAGCGCTCCCTCCTCCGCGGCATCAATCTGCGCACAAACGCAAATGCCATCTCCCCGGTTTCCTTCCAAGCACGGAAAGACTACCTCGTAAACGCATACGAGAAAGGCGATTTTCTCAAAGAGCCGGATAAGAAGGGCCAAGCGGCACCGAACCCGATGACGGATCCGGCCGCTATGGAGGGCATGATGGGTATGATGAAGGGGAATATGGCGATGATGATCCCGCAGACTTTAATCATGGGGTGGATTAATGCGTTCTTTAGTGGTTTTGTGATGAGTATGTGATGTGGTATATTGGGAGTGAATGATACTGACGATGCATAGTCAAATTGCCGTTCCCGTTGACGATTAAGTTTAAGAGTATGTTGCAGGCAGGTGTTGCGACCAGGGATATGGACCCGCAGTGGATGTCGTCTATCTCGTGGTATGTATTGTGTATATTTGGACTGCAATCGGTGTTCAACTACCTATTGGGAAGTGATAATGGTAGGTTTCATCTGAACTCCTCTGGGTTTCGTCTGAAGTATTAATTCTCTACAGCTGCCAGTCAGATGGCGCAGCAGATGGGTCAGATGGGCCCAGGAGCTGGAGCGCAAATGTTTGGACCGGGTGTAGATCCCGACAAGCAGTTCCAGGCTGAGGCAGAGAATCTGTCTGTGTTGGCTCAGGAGTACACCTTGGTAGGTGTGGAGGAGAGGCTTTTGGAGACGGTGAGAGTGTGATCAGAGAATTCTGCCTGAACCATTGTATAATATGAGCTGGTATAATCCAGGAATTGACAGCAACAACGCTGAGTTGAACGTCCGGATTGCTAGGCAAGGCCGGCAGTGGTCCGGTCCAAGCCTGAAAAGTTGGTGTCGTTGATTCGAAGATGCTGAGCAGCTCCAATAGAATATTCGTGCTGCATTTCGAATCGTCGAGAATCTATTAAAGAGCCTAGAATAATTTCTGTTGATCTCTTTCGCTTGCACTTTTGGCCCGCTGGCTTGAGGCCAGGTTCCACTGCTGAATTTTATCAGAAACATCTGGAAGAATCCTTCCGTAAAGCTTTGATTGTTTAGCTCAAGTGAGCAAAACTGACGATAATATTTCTTTTAACTTAATCGCAACACCTGGAATGATCCATTAATCCAGTTCTTTCTTGTATGAGAAAGAACTAGAACTAAGCTTCTGTAGAATTCTGGAATTCTCTCATAGCTCATTGCTCTTTGTGTGTTGTTTCATCCAATCCTATTTAATCATGAACAGTTGGCACTTCTGTCATCATACCTTTACATTCAAACCGCAACCATGGCAAAACCAAGCAAAAGGGGCTTTGGATCAGCCCGTTCAGCGAAGGCCAAGTCGACTGAAAAGAAATCATCTAAAGTCAAGTCAGGCAAAGCAAAAGCAACTACCACTTCCCAGCCTGCAGATTCCGATTCTACTACTTCACCAAGAAGATCCTCTCCGGATCTTCTGAACTCAATGTCTAAAGCAGGTCAGACGAAGAAGTGTGATGCGAATGCTCGGCCTTCTAAGAGAGCGCGCTTGTTCGAGTAAGTCCTTCCAAAACATAACATTTCTCTTGTGGGATAAGAAACGTGCCAAAGGCCCTCAACATCCCAGATCAAGTTGGACAACTTGGACTATTTCAGGGGCTTTCCCTTTGAATCTTCACTCGATTTGGGCACATTCAGAAGCTACAACCTCCAGTTGGCCATGAGTTTCTAGAGCATTGAAATCGTCTCCCCTCAATGTTCACCTGGACCCCAGACATTGAAAATGAGACCCACTTTTCCGCCCACTAGGAGTTTCTCTCTTTTCACACTGACCGTCAATCTTAGCGCAACGTCTCGAATTATCACCTTGATCGTTGGCGAACAAGAAGTCCCATTCTTCATCCACGAAGGTATTCTGTGTGAAAATTGCCCCGTATTCGTCTCAGCCCGCATGCCGGAATGGATGAGGGATGATAATCCAAAGATTGAGCTGCCTGAGGATGACCACGAACTTATCGAAGTTATGGTGTATTGTAAGCATTCCCAAGGAAATATCTTTCTTTCTCTCCGAAAAATAGCTCATTCTTGCCTCAACTTCTCAAGCAGTTCTTGTCAACGCTTTACTGACTCTTCCGTTCGTTACTAGGGATGTACCGACGCATTCTCTTCTTCCCCTCTTCCTTCGAAAAAGGCCACGTCGATATCACCAGTTCTCTCTCCAGCGCTCCCGGCCTGCTAGCAAGACTCTTCATCCTCGCCGAGAAATATCAAATCACACCACTGCAAAACGACATCATAGACGCCTTCCTCATCTGGATGGACGATTTCTCGCTCCAGCACCGCATCCCTGCCTCCGTGATCCAATACGTCTGGGAGCACACGATTTCCGAGGAGTGTATGCTGAGAGTGTTCTTGGTTGATTATGTGAGGGCTGAGTATACGTATTGGCATTTGAAGACGGCGAGAGATTTGATTGTGGATAAGGGTTTTTGGTATGAGTTGAGTAGGGGAAGTGCGCTGACGGTGGATCTTCTGAGGGAGTGTTTGGATGAGGGCGGTCCCGAGGTGATTGGTGATATGAGGGAGCACCTCGAAGATGACTTGACGCTTGATGTTTGTGTGAATTGGCATACGCATGGGGCTAAGGAAGAACAGTGCAGGGTGTTGAAGAGGTATGTTTTGGATGGTGAGGAAGAGGAGGATGGGTGAAAGGATGGGTGAATGGCTGGGTTGGGGTTTTGATGTCCCTGGGAGATGTGGGACTTTGACGCCTTAATTTATCCCTTGTATTAAAGAAAATGTTCTACAGTAGTGAGGCGAATGTCCCAATCCCAGGTGCGTTGGTCATCAAGGAGAGATTTTCTTGCACTCGTTATACCCCCATTCTGAGGACAATGAATCCCTTGACGCTACTTGAGTATTGGAGTTTTGATTGCGCAGAATTGATGTGGTTATCGGAGCTTGTAACTTCTAGGACGTGTGACGTTCTCATGATATCCATTCTCTCAAGACTCTCTCGTACTTTAAAGTTGGCTAGAGCCTTGAAACTTTTCAAATTCTACATTGCTTTTTGTCTTCCCTACCTCTCATTCATAGTCCGTACTCTTGATCATTGGCTCCCACTTTTTCAGCAGCTCCAGGGTTTCCTCACACTTGGCCTTGACATCATTGTAGCAATCACTTCCCAGCGGAAGCCGGAACGGAATCTCCTTCCCTTCAGCAATACCTTCCTGCCTTACCAGATCTAACACCATTTCTACAAGCTTAATCGGATCGCCTGGCTGCATCTGATCCGCCTCAGCCAGTCCCTTAAGAAGCGTCCTCGAGAAATCCTTGTACTCTAGGATCTCGGTCGACACGGTCTTCATGTTACCGCTCGATAGAAGCTTGGTGCGGAATCGCCCTGGCTCGATCAAGAGAGTTTTGATACCCAAAGGCGAAGTTTCCCGCCAGAGGGATTCCACGATGCCTGTTCGAAAGGTCGCGGTTAGCGAGAGATTTCTGGTGGCAGGAGATAAAGAACGGAGGGCGGTACCTTCAAGTGCGAATTTCGAGCCAACGTAAGCGCTGATTCCTGGGTCTCCCATCCAGCCTGAGAGAGAACCGATGAATACCATGGTCCCGGCTCGGCGCTGCCGGAATTGAGGCAAAAGAGCCTGGGTTACCTTAATGGTTCCAAATATATTTGTTTCAAATTGAGCTAAGAAGTCTTCGTATCTGCCATTGTGTAAGTACTTCGCACCGAAGGAAAGCAATTTGGAGGTCTTACACAGTACGTACGCGAGATCTTCAAAAATGCCTGTTGAAACATAGCCCGCGTTGTTCAGCAACACGTCTACCTTTCCGTAGATAGAGATTGCTTGAGCTACTGTCTCGTTGATGGCTTGTTGGGTGGAAGTGATGTCGAGTTGAAGGATAGAAGCCCCTGCTTCCTTGAGATTCTGAAGCTTAATAATGTCACGCCCAGTGGCTATGACGTGGTCGCCGCGTGCGAGAATGCTGCTGACGAACTGTTCTCCGAATCCGGAGGAGCAGCCGGTGATGAGCCAAGTGAGCTGAGGCATGGCGAGTGAAATTTGGTTTGGATAAAAGGGAAGTTGTTGAATATGTTGTTCAGGTTTCTCAAGTTTGTTTGGAAATCGGTGTACTCAATTATGGACTCTCCTCGACGTTATATATCGAACAGCTGAGTACTCACTGCAAGATTTCGGCATCGGAGATAACTCCATGATATTAGGCATTTAAAATAAAGGCACCGGTATGCTATAAGACCCGCATGTTGCTGCAGATCTTCCGTGAGCACCGGTATCACAGATTTGGGATTGGAACCTCGCCGTGGGGACAGACAAGGGAGAAAACTGGATATCTTGAGGACGGTTCCCGCTCACGTGATTTACTTCCGCAAAACGTCGATCCTTTAAGTCCGATAAACCTGTTTCTCCGATCAGCCACATTGTTGTCTCCGACAAACCAATCGCTGCATCTGCGGGACACCCGAACATCCGGGTTGAATAATTGACAAGGGTTTCTATCTGCCAAACTTAGGTTTTGGTTCCTGTGAGCTGGTTTGGCTTGTAATCCGATTCGCTCAAACCCACTCCCTATTTAAGGCCTGTGTCGCTTGGCAAAACCGACCACTTAGTATCACGGAGTTATTTCTTCTTCTAAGCTCAATTAACAATGCATTAGGAGCTCAGGTTAGGGGTTTAACTTGCCGAAAAGTAGTCTTGACGAAAGTCTGCATGTTTAAATGACGAATAGGAGGAGTGAGGAGAAATGGGTACAGTGGCATCATCACGCAATCAAGTTACGAGATGAGTTCCTTCTCGAGATGGGGATATTTAATTGCAACTCGATCCTTTGGTGATTATGTCGAGATTCGTTTTCTGCATGGAAATGAAAGATCACAGTGGATGCATGTTTTCCACGTATGAGCCCTGAGTAGAGTGTGCCATCTTGCAGAGTTGTTAAAGTTCAATGATAGGAATTTCGTGGTAACAGGTCATCAATACACGAAACTTTCTCATTTCTTGCTCCGCCAAATTACTTGCCATGAGAATTTAGAAGTGCATCCTCCTTGAGCTTAGATACATCCCAGAAACAAAACAGTTATTCAAAGTAACCTGCCAACACCGATAAGATGCTAATATTAACACCGTATTTCTAACATCGCACTCGTTGCAAATCACAATATAGCCTCTTCATTGGTTCTGGAAACACCGCTGGATTCCGTGCCCTGGTTTGCCGTGCTTAGTCTTGCACACAGCCCCAGCAACACCACGGTTTCAGTAGCAGCATAATGGTTCAAGGCATCTAGCAGAATTTGAAGGTGTCTGTCAAAGTTGAATCCGTGCTTCCTTGAAACGCCTTGCATCTTCTCAAGTGGCGTCTCATCTCTCTTGCTGGTAGAAGTTGATGCAGTTGCATCTCCACGTCGATGTTTCTCACTCTGAAACCGCGCCCATTGTTGCTTATTCATGTTTGCTGGCCTTTCTGTACCAGAAAAGTCCGGGTCGTTGATTTCAAGTCCTCGTGAGAGCCCTGTTGTAGAATTTGCGAAAAGGAAGCATGTATGCACAAGTTTGGAGTGTATCTGTTGGGAGATTCATATCATAAGCAGCTTTCCATAACAATCCGCGGTCTAAAAACATACCATGAGGAGCTTACTATTTGTAAGCATGCACTCCTTCAAACAAGTGTCAAGAAAATCCACGTGGTCTCCCATAAGCTCGTCAACGGTGCTGACAACAAGCTTTGAACCACCGTTTTCGTCTTCTTTCCCATTGAGTTTCTCCATGTAAGCCTGCCAATTTGGCTCAATAACCTCTGAAGTACAAAAGTAAAACAGTTGCTGAACAAAATTAAGCATGCGAGCGCGTAACGTAAAGACACTTCTCTTCCAGATCTCGACTTCTCTGCTCGAACTTTGATGAGACCAAGTAGCTGCCCTATTCTGGATCTGCTAGCAAGCTACCAGCTGCTGTTCTTGGTAACGCAATGATAAAAGGTAGCGGAGTAACGCTTGATATCTCCAAATAGTCTTTCTACTAGTGACTAGAGACACTGGAAATGGTACCGAATAATCAAGCTGTAAGGATGTAAATCCAATAGCTACTTTCTCAGTTTCGGTAGATTGAGAAGTTGGGTTTGGAAATGCTTCATCCAGTTCCATGCCAGATATGTTAACTACTCGAGTCAATGATTCTATTAGACTGATTTTGTTCATCTCAACCTTAACGTCTTCTTTGAAAGGATCTCGAGCAGCCACACTTCCTGGTTGGCGAAGAACGAGGTCGAGCAACGATTGGAGTTTGCTGGTATTAACATTATCGACTGGTTTTCGAAGTCCAGCCGTTCCAAGCTCGAGGAAGCAAGAAAAGAAATCGGACCGATCAAGGAAGAAGTAATGCTTTAAGAAGCGTAATCTGGCAGGGAGAGCATAATTCGTAAGTAGTAGCTTTAACAAAGATTCGTTAGCGACTGCATATGCGTTGTAAATATTATCCAGAAATCGAATATCGTCAAAAGAGCGAGGTACGTCTTTGACTGCTCTCACGTCAACCCCGCCACACTGACGAACTACATTCAAGTATTTTCCTGCCAGTAAAACCTTGGATTTTACACTATCGAGTTGCGGAGGGATATTGAAATGCCTAAACCCCAAATTCTCGGATCAGTATTGCCGTTAAAGGATATAATGGGGAGTTGAGACAGCGTCTCATGAGTAATTTGCTCCCACACTAGCTAGGGAGTAAATAGCTCGCAAGACACGCGAGGAAAGAACGCTCCGAGAAATTGAGACCTACCGAAGAGTATAGCGCCTGCCCCAGTATTCGTCTGTGTAATCCTCTTCAAGCCTCTCCCGCCTAATACTTGTTTGCTCTCGGATTAGAAACTCAGCATGATGATCCTTAATACTCCCGTAGTGAAGCCATTCGCTTAACATCGTCATATATGGCCGGCTTGCGTCTCTTAAAAGCGAAGTGAGGAGTGATTTCGCAGTAGGATCCCCAGATATTGTCTCCAGGCGCTTCGTAATCAAGGCCAAAACAGTTCCACCTTTGCAAATCTTTTTTCCCGGTATATTTCACAAGAAGTTCTCAATATCGTCAAAATCTGGGTCCGAGTCTCTGTCCTCTTCTAACAAAGAGTTTCGTCTCAATATCTCATGAGCGAGAGAATGTATCTGGTACATCATATGGCCGGCTGAAATGGTATGGAGGTTCAAGGTATGTAAAGTGAATGCTGAATTCGTAAGGAACTGTGTTTCGAGTTGCACCATCAGAACGAGATAATTGTGTAATAGCTTCCCAATAGCAGCGCAGAGGGCGCGGCTCACGGATCCAAATTCCTCTCTACTTTGAACCTCAACAAATGCTTGTATGGCTCCATAAGAGGTAGCTATCTTCAGCATTGCAATGGTGAGATCTTGCAGAGCAGGATCTAGCCCAGGCAAAATCCTGAAACCGGGGCCAGCTAGGCGCTGTGTCTCCACAGCTGGGTTATAGTGTTTGGCAAACCGAATATACTGCCCTTCATAGCCCATGAGAATGATGAGCAGGTCTTCCAATATAGCTGCCTCTTGAACTTCAATAGAGAGCTCTTTTAGAGGTCTAGGTTGTAATGACTGGGGTGCTTGAGACGCTAAAGGTGGCATAGACATTCGGGATGCAAGAGGGGCAGTCGTATGGCTTGCAACGACGCTGCCGGATTCCATGGTTCTAAGAAAATATTATTAAACATCAGATTTTTGTGAATGAATGGGCTTACGCTGGGGAACATCTGCCTTGGCGGCTTGTGGACGAGGAACCCCTGGATATGCCCTCGTAGCTTCACTCGCCTTTGGCTGCTCTGGTTGTTGCACTGGTAACGGTTCAGGACGTCGTTCAGGACTTCCGGTCCTCGAAGTCATAGTTTCCCTCGTTGTGATCTGAATCCTTTCCGTTCTTCGCTCATCTACACTGGCACCCCGATTCATTCGATGTGAGCTTGAAGCAGTCCTTCGATGTTTGATCGCGGATGCAGAGGGTTTTGGGGAGTGTTGTCGCGATGAGTGGTCGCCTCTCCTTCCGTCTCGCTGCATCGATGGCGTGCTGCTATCATCGCTCGCGGTCTGCCGCTCAGTATGTGACGAAGGTTTGACATTAGATGAAGACGACAGCTTGTCAAATTGGCGCTTCGAGGATTCAATAACTGAGCTTGTATAATTGTTGTTTCGCGCCAACCCTCACTTTGTGGTGGCGCCAAGCCACCGCGCACGTGACACCTTACCGCTGAAGATCCACAGGACAAATAGGCAGAAGTGAACCATGTACCAGGTTGACGGTTTACCGGGTCAAATTCACGTTACGCACGAACACAAGAGATTTCTAGAATTCTGATTAATTCCAGAAGAGAAGCGTGAAGCTCGTAAAAGCTTGGGAGCGAGGCTAAATACTCCTTAGCGCCATAATTAAGCGAAGTGTGTGCCTGAGGCTTAAGCGAATTTTCCCCCTCACAGCGCTCCGCTCACCCTCGCTTCACCTCAACCTCACCCGTCCTCACCCATCCTCACCCATCCTCACCAGCCTCCATTTTGTGTTCTCCACCGCGTCACCTCTGCTCACCTGTCTTGCCTGGGATTTGCTTATCCCTGGTCGCGCGGCTGTCAAAAGCGTCAACTCCTGACGAGAAGGATTCAGAGGAGCTAGAACGGGCTCCAGGGAGTTTGCATTCATCTCGATTCTCAAGCGCCGAAGCCATAGCATCGGAAAATTACTGTAGCTGCTTCAGTTTTTGCTGTGGCTGAACTCTAGTTTCTTCGCCCCTTTTTTAGCTTTTTAGACTGCCCGAATAGAACTTGTCTATTTGTATAGTGTGTCAACCAATTAGACTCTGCAACCGGCTCTAGCGCTCGGCCCCCATTCCGACAGCTTTACAACGTTATACTTGTACGCTTGGTACTTTTGCTTGTTTGCCCATTTCCCTCGGTGGAGAGAAGTCCTTTCCAATTCGTTCTCAACCCAGCAATCACTCTCAAATCCTTCCAAGCTCATCCATCACCAAAGACACCAACCATGAAGACATTAGGCTTGCTCGGTGGCATGAGCTGGGAGTCCACCGTGACTTATTATCAGGAAACCAACCGTCGCGTGCGGCAAGTCAAGGGCGGCCTGCATTCCGCTCATTGTATCGTCTTCTCCTTCGACTTTGCTGAGATCGAGGCACTCCAGCATGCGGGAAAGTGGGATGAGGCCGGCCTGCTTCTGGACGAGGCGGCCGTGAAGCTGAAGCTGGCTGGCGCAGAGGGGATTGTGCTGTGCACCAACACCATGCACTTTGTCTCGCTTAGCATCGAGAGCGCTTCCCAACTCCCTCTCATTCACATCGTCGACCCCACGGCCCAGGCCATTTTGAAAAGGGGGTACAAATGTGTCGGCCTCTTGGGCACGCGTTTTACCATGGAGAAAGACTTCTACAAAACCCGACTCACGGAAGAATTCGGGCTACGCGTCATTGTCCCGGAGGAGGAAGGCCGAGCAACTGTACACGATGTGATATATACCGAGCTCTGCAACGGAATAATCAACGAAACCTCACGAGAAAACTATTGCAAGATTATTGCCGACCTCAAAAAGGCAGGCGCAGATTGTCTTATTCTAGGATGCACTGAGATAGGACTCTTGGTAGATGAGGCCAGGAGTGAGCTGCCAGTGTTTGACACCGCTCATATTCACGCGGTAGCTGCTGCTGACTGGGCAATGGGAATTGATGGTTGAAATGAAAACAAGTCACTTGTCCTGTGCTAATATGGCAAAATTCAGTCACCTCGAGTGCCAGCCGGGAACGACAGGTAGACAATGAATCTGATCTTTACCAAAGCGTGCTACGCTTCATTGGCTAATTAATTCAATCCTCAGCCTATGACTCCTATTAACTGTTTTCCATCATCGAACTGGAAAAGCGGGTCGTTTGAGGGGAGTTGAGGAAAGGTTGAAATGGCATTAAGCAAGGCCCCTTCTATTAAAAAGGGGGCCCAAATCGGCTCCCACAAAGACCTTTAATAAATGTGACAGGGGACCGAGAACGGCCACCATCACGATATCTTGATAGGCTCTGAGATGTAGCTATGCTATAGGCAATAGGATTTGCCAAAGTCTATATATAGATAATATAGAAACTATAACCAATTCTCGAGGGAGCCAGAAGGGGATCCACCTGAGCGTGATCTATCCACTCACCTTCGACTCACCCTTACTCGTTATAATTGATCCTTAATTGCCGGCAAAACAGCTCTGCTCACCTTTCCGAACAGAAAAAGATTTCCTTCATGCCAGGATTGACGTGTGATAACCAGATGTTGTAATGCAGGACCAGAGCTCGACGCGTTTGTTTGGGGATTTGTAAGCAAAGGCCTGATGGGTTTCCCCAGCCCCTCATCCTGTCAAAACTTTCTTTATGTCCTTATAGCGCTAATTATGTGCTATTTAAATATAATTGTTTTATAAATTCTGGATTAGTAATAGCTCTTTAAATTAAAGAAGTTAAAGATTTTCATATTTTATAGCCTAAAAGTAAGCTTAAGAAAGCCCAGAAATTTAGCGAATAAGTACCTAAAACTAGCTATAAGAGCTTTATAAGCCCCTAATTTGTAGGGCCTTATAAGGCTTAAAAACTAATTTTATTTAAAGAGCTATTACTAATCCAAATTTTATTAAAAAATTGTATTTAAATAGCGCATAATTAGCGCCATAAGGAAATAAAACAAGTATTAAATTAAAGAAACAGCCAGAGTTTTGGTATTCCTGTCCGAGCGCCTCTACTTTAGGTTAGTTCGGCCCCCAATCGACACCCCGGGGGGGGTGGGTCGTTTTACATTTTCCCCTTCGCCGAGGTGCTTCTTCTTTCGACGTCGTCTTTAACTCCTGCACTGTGCTTAACGCCTCACTTTTATTTATTTTTAAATAAACTACGTTTAGGTGCGCTACTTCTTTGGCTTTAGCGCACCCGCTCTAAGCATGATGTTTGCCCGAACCGCTGTTTTTTATGATCGACAAGATTGATACTATTGATCGTGGCGTGTTCGCAGATCACCCGGGGAACTTCCTTTTGTAGGGACAGAGATTTTTAGCGACTTTTTGTAAGCTTTTAGAGCCAAGCCTATCTTTCAACATGCTGCTAGTGGGCTTCAGGGTGTGCACGGATTAGTTGTAAGGCTTTTGGTTGCAGCACCTTCCGTAATTGGGTAACAGCTCCGAAGACTTGTCTCCTGAGTCCTGAGATATGTAGCAGGGTTGAGAAAACAGGGAAAGGTTAGGCAACTGCGCTGGCTCAGCCTGGCTGACGTTGGTCTCAGCGTATGCAGGAGTAGTTTCGCCGACGAAGCTAAAGCACGACCGATCAGAACATGGGATCGCAACCATTGAGCGAAGTCTAAAGGATACTTAAGGAAATATTTATTTCACTTACTACGAATTAAGGAGAAGGGGCCGAGTTTCACGAGATTCTCAAAGGACCATTTTCAGCAGCTCCCTAGTAAGCCCCCTGCGTTTCTCGGGCCAAGGGATTGTCCGCCCCTGTTTCATTCGGACCTGGCTCTGCGGTAAAGACTCATATCCATGTCTTGAACGTCACAGAGCTGGGCAGTGCTGCTCCGCCCACATTTCTAATGCAGTGGTGGTCCAAACAATTCTCTAGTCTTCTTCTTCTCATCACTCACGACTTCTCATATACGCTTGTCAGCATTTTCCCCAGGAACAGAACTGCCCAAAAGAAAGCATGTCAAATCCGTCAAACGGGCGATCGCTGCGACTCTTATCCCTTGATGGTGGAGGCGTAAAAGGCCTTGCAAGTCTCCTGATCCTGAAGCGCATCTTTCGCACCCTCCAGAAGGTTGATGGGCGCGACGAGATCCCTCGACCATGCGAATATTTTGATTTGATTGGAGGAACATCAACGGGAGGGTAACTTCTTGTCAAGAAGCGCAATTTTCGAGTCGTTACTGACGTCGAAGTAGTCTCGTAGCTATTATGCTTGGTCGGCTACGGATGACAATAGATGAATGCATCGAAGTATTCCAGCATGTCTCAGAGACCGTATTTGGGAATATCCCCGGCACATTTTCGAGACTAATCGGCGGACTCTCTGGCAAACCATTTTTCAAGGCCGAGAGGTTGGAAAAGGTAGTCAAAGAATTGCTCATATCTCGAGGAGTAGATCCTGATACGTTTTTGAAAGACTCAGAACATGCACGATGCAAAGTGTATGTTATTTTGCAATTCCCTTTTTGGATGCCACTTGTACGACATTTCGCGTTTTCAATCTACATGCTAACGAATGCCCTCGTTCTTTACAGATTTGTCTGCGCCACTCGAGCCCAAACCGTCCAACCTGTCCTGTTTCGCTCTTACACCACGTGGTCCGAAGGAGAAGAGAACTATGCTTGTCATATTTGGGAGGCAGCCAGAGCAACTGCGGCCGCTCCTCTCTTCTTCGAACCGATAAAATTGAAGATATCAGGAGCCACTTTTGTAGACGGCGCCATGAGACTGAATAACCCAATCTCCGCTGTCCTAAACGAAGCTGATGCTCTATTTCCAGATGCGACGTTCAAATCTATTATAAGCATTGGAACTGGTTGGACTGACGTTGCAGGTCTCGCAGTGGAACAGATCACGGCCCACAACGTTCTCAAGACTTGTATCGACATATCTATCAATGCCAATAATGAGGCACAGGCATTTGCGAAAGGAAAACGGGGGAGAGACTTCTTAGAGAATAAGACCTACTTTCGCTTCGACGTTGAGCGTGGACTTGACACAATTGCTCTGGAGGAATGGAAAAAACTTGACGCTATCGATGCCTTGACGGAAGCATATTTGGCTCGACCAGATAAGGGACGAGACCTGAGGGACTGTGCGCAAAGCCTATCCTACAAGGCTTCATCACACATAAGTTAGTCTTGATTCCAGAAACCAACCTGTACAGAGACTCATACATTCCACTGGTGTTCTCATGCTCTTAAAGGGACTTCACGTTACAATTATACCTTTTAAGAGTGAGATCTGTCGCTGAAACTCGACTGATAAGCCAGCAGCGAACTTACAGGAGAAGGGTTCTGATAACAGGTTCCCGTCGTCTTTACCCCACTATTCAAATCCGTATTTCTCCGGTAGAGAATTTGAGCTTGTGAAAATTGACAAAATATTCCAAAATTCGCCAGTTTTGCATCAGAGAGTAGTTCTATTTGGTCTAGGGGGCATTGGGTGAGAGAATCTGATCTTAATATAAAATAAGCGTAGCGCTAACCTTAGGGTTGCTTTCTTCAGGAAAAGTCAACTTGCACACGAATACGGTCAACGGCAATCGACAAAACGCTCTATTTTCTGGGTCCGGGCTAATACAGCAGAAAATCTCGCGCTCGGCTATGCGGCGATTGCCAGGCTTCTGCTTCTGGACTCGCAGCATGCAACACTGGCGGATTGTCTCACCGCCGTCAAAGGACATTTGGAGGATGCGAATACACTTCCTTGGCTTCTGGTTCTCGATGAAGTTGACGATAAGGAAACCTTTTTGGGCGGTCCGAACGGCATTAAACTTGCGGAATATATCCCTAGGGCAAGTCACGGCCGTGTATTAATCACAACAAGAGACTCTCGGGTCGCCGGCCTGGGTGGGGGGCAAGTGGTACCGGCCCAGAACGGTATTCGAATTGGCCCGATGGATTTCGAAGACTCATTCTGCCTATTTCAGAAATGTATGCGTCAAGATCTTATGCTCGATGTTTCAAAGGATCGTTGCTGGAGTTTCCTGAATATGCTCGGAGGGCTTCCACTAGCCATTGTACAAGCCGCCTCGTATATGCGTGAAGAGGAAACTTCTATTGAAGACTTTGTTGCGCTTTACAAAGATATTGAACTTCATGGAGAACTCTTCCAAGAGTCTGCCATAAGCACAGATATGGAGCAAAAGTCTGTGTTATATACGTGGGAACTGTCATACAGGCGGATTGCTGGTCCATTATACCCCGAATCAAAGTCTCATGCGGCAATGCTCCTTGATCTACTTGCTTTTCTTGACGCTGAGGAGTCGCCATTCAGATATCTCAATGAGATAGAATATAGGGTCAAGGATTACGCTGAGCCGATAATGGCCCCTTCGGACTGGGGAATGTTAAAGCCCCACTTCAAACCGCAACAAAGCCCTTCGAGCTTGCTCAAAGGTATTTACAATCGCCAATTCACGCCAAACGATACATTCAGGTCAGCGATAGGGAGACTCTGCAACTATTCCCTCATCGGTTCAAGAGAGTGCTGGGTTCATCCAGTAGTGCACAACTGGATCTATCGCAGGCTTCCTGAACCTGAAAGATGTAAATATATCAACTGGATGACTGGCGAGCTAATGAATCATGTGTCGTTAACGATACCTGATGGCTGGGAGAAATATGTGATGCCTACGGACTCATTCACTATACTTATACAAGAAGACTTGGGCATTCTTCGGCATGCTGATATCGTCTTGAAGTACGCTCTATCGCCTGTGATGAATGGATATATGGAGGCGAATCATGTCATAATTCCGGAGATTGGTGACCTACTTTACCACTTCGGGGTAATCTCTGTCTATTCTGGGAAAGTCAAAGAAGGCGTTGGATACATTCAGCAATCTATCGCCGCAACAGAACGTTCTGACCAGAATGAAGTATCATTGAATGAAAGAAAGCTCTATCTAGCACAAGCTAGGTCTCGTTTGTGCCCGGGGGAGCAGGCAGTTGCAGAGGCAAGGCTTTGCTACGACAAAACTTCGTCTCTGGAAGCTGAATACTGGGTTGCCCAGTGTCTCAGAAACAATGGGCAACTACAGGATGCGTTACCGGTATTGAAGAATATCATCAATAAGTATCCAATATCGTATCCACAACAATTCGAAGAAAACAAAGTTCGATTTATGGCAACCGTCAACGCTGCAGAGATTTTGGTCGATCTTGAGGATGATGAAAGCAAAAAACAAGCAAGGCACCTTATCGACAATCGGATACTACCTTTCCTCGAAAAGACACCCTTCGGCCATGTCCTGAACACAGTTACGTATCCACAAATATTGATATGTCGAATCGAGGCAGCTGCTGATCAAAAAGACCGGAAAGATGCATGTAAGGCGGTCGTAGATTTCGACGCAAGGCTTGGTATAGGCGCCAATCCACTCGAGTGGCTTCCCCATCTAGGATACCTTGAGCAGAAAGAGAAGCGCCAGGAAATCGTGACATGGATGAAGATGTTTACACGCAGGCGTCGCCCGATCCTTGATATTATGATATCACTAGTTAACCATCCAGACAAGTCCGATTTCATGGATAAAGAGATTATTGGTTGGTGCGACATGTATAACTCCCTTGGGACAGCCTATTTCGCACTGGGAAAGTTCCACAAGGCAGAGGAAGCCCACATGAATGCGCTAGGTCTGCATCTATGGCTCCATTCAGAAGGATCCAGATCTCATCTTTTCCGCACAAACGTTACAAACCTCAGAACGGCACTATTTTGTCAGGGAGATGCAAAAATGCGGGAGCTTGAAACGATCCAAACATCATTCTACGACCTTCTCGAAGAGACTGAATATGATCAGGCCTCTTCTGACCACAACCGCCGGGGCGGAAAACCAGATCACGATGCGTTTGGAGAATAATGAGGAGACTGAGCAGTTTAGCACGCTAGGAGGGATTGGCAGTGTGAATACTACTTAAATTAGTGCCAGATATCGAGAAGGTATGCGCCCATTAACATTACAACCCTTCATATTTGTCACTCATTCGACATGCAGATCTAGAAGCACCAAGCACGAGGTGGCTCAATGCTGTCTACGACGGCCAATCACTACCTGGGTCTACCAGCGCAAGGAAATGGACTAGGGGGGCTGTTGCCACTACCTCTAAAGGTTTGATAGACCCTGCAAATTTTTGATATAGAATTATAGATCGGCTCTGGTATCATCACCTGACATACATGTGCTGTGGAATGCGTTGTGATGCTGACATTCGTGCCACATTCGGAATTGGATTGAGGCTGTTGTGGCACCGAATAACGGAAGCAGTTCATGGCGCCCAGGAGAGAAAGGAAGAATACCTCATGCGAAGTCAAATCTGCTATCAAAAACATTGAGTGTATCAACGGCGGTCAAACTGAAAAGACGGACATTAAGACTACATGGTGCTGGGCAAGCTCTGAAATCTGTGTGTATTGTGAAGCTTGATTCATTCCTCTCTAGGCAAGAAGTTGCTATGAGCCTTATAAGCCCCTAATTTATAGGGCATTATAGGGCCTAAAAACTAAAACTTAATTAAATAGTATATAAAATCCCTTAAATTAAAATTCTATTTTAAGGAATCTTTTTATTATAAGCTAAGAAGCACGTGTTTACAATATAAGGGCTTTATTATTTTAGCTTATAGTAATATTGAAGAATCTAGCTTGAGGTTTTTTTATTAAAAAAGAGCTTAGGCAGCCAATTTTAATACTGGCAGACTTCCCAGCTGTCGTGTGCTTCGTCGTCGTCGAGGGGGGTGCTCGCAGCAGAAGACTCTCGACTAGCATGGGAGGCGATGGCATTGCCCGTAGCCTCTTGAAGAACCGAATTGTCGGTTGCTTCATTCTCCTCGGCGGTGCTGGTAGTAGTAGAAGACTCTCTGCTGGCATGGTTGCGGATTGCGTTGCTTGCAGTGACCTGGAGAGCCGAATTGTCTTCTAGCTTTTGGATTTATGCGCGGCATATGCGATACACGGGGGACTATGAAAATATTCAGAAGCTGTAGTGAACATTAAAGGTTGATGCATACCTTTGAAGCACCAACTTGCTCTCACTTTGAGGCAAGCTCCCATCACGACAAGGAGTGACGGCAGGTTTCGAGTAACAGTCGTGCAGCGGTGGTGGGATAGTTGGAGGAAGCACCAGAGCTGTATTGCCCAGAGCTCCCGAGGCCCCAAGAGGGTGGCGGGGAAGAGGGAACGGAGAGCGCGATCTGAGGCGGCCTCTGGTTGGTCAAATCCATGTGCTCCAGGCGTTAGTGTCCACCTGCAGGTCTAGGGCAACAAAGATGGCCGTTAAACTCACGCAGTTTAAAATGGAGCCAGCCAAGTCTAGCGAGGGCAGGCGACGCTGTGAAGTTGATGCCTTCTTTGTTTTAAAAAAGATGACAGCCCATTGGAAGAGAGCTCCTGTGTATTGCCAACCAAGCTCTTCCTTTCCCTCAATCACTCAATGGCGTGAGGAAGTTGGAACGATTAAATGTGTTTGAAGATGTAGAGAGGATCGAACTATGTAGCACACCTAACAAGCCGAGCAATGGTAATACTTCGAATTAAGTTGCTTCTTCCTACTTAACTAGTACTTCACTCTCCCGTAATAACAACTTGATTTATGTAAAACGTTGAAGCCTTCCTCGTTTGTAAGGACTTCATACGGGGCCCTGAATTTCCTCTTTTTGTGCTCGCTCGTACCCCTTTTCAACCGAATTGACTCGAATTCCGGGCCTAACTTTGGTCCATTAGAAAAGGGGGGGCTTTCGTTGGCTCGGCTTGGCCGGCCATCTGATCTCTAGAGAGCATAACTGCAACCTCCCCTGTCCCCCCAGAACACCTGTTCACAGAATGTTTATCCTAATCGCTTTCCTCCTCAACATCTGCGAATGTTTCGTCCAAAATCGAGCAAACTCGACGCACCATGCCTGGGATATGTTTCGGCCTCGATTGTATAAGCCACGCAACATCCATCTTGACTTTAAAAATTGGCCTGCCGTAGTCCACTAGTATCGAATCTTCCGAGATATCGCTAGCCACACCGAGGAGTGCGTAAATTCTATCGTGGGGGACACTAGACTTCGATGCCTTGCAGGTTTCTAGCAGTTCCAGAAGTGTCGGATGTCCTCCTTCCCAGCGAGCTCTTGAGATTCTCATACCTGGGCTCGCTTTTATCCTCTCTAGTACTTCTGGGAGGTACGGTGGAAGGCCAGGATGGTTTGACTTGATTCTGGCGATTCCACTCAAACCTTCATCGAATTTTCCGGGCCCCCGCCAATTGTCCGGGGAATGCCGGTTGTCGGAGGAATGTCGTCCATAATGTATCACAACTTCCCGAGCTGACAAGTATTCTTGGACGATCCATAGCCTAGTCCAGTAGGTACGCCCAAGCAAAAATGCCAAGGCCTCCCATTTCTTCTGAGCTGTCGCCTCCTTGGATACCAGTTTTTTAGCCCTTTCCTCTGACGGGGGAATACAATTTTCCACTAGATCAAAGGCATCCTTAACGTTGCTTTCGTGTTCATTTCGGCCATCGTCGCCCAGCCAAACCCTCACAGTATTGGCTTCGCGGAATATGTCGCCCATCATTGTGACTTGCTGATTTCGCTCACTGATGTTATCCTGATTGATACAAATAGCGTCAATCCAAAATTCTGCTGAGAGCGTCTTTGACGCTCTCAGGGAGTGCAATGCCATCCAAAGGTTTTCTCGTACACGGAAACGTTTCCCTTGAAGGATGATCTCGTGCATGGGACTATCGGTGTCTCCCCACTCATATGATAATGCTTCATATCCAACAGATGGGGCTCCTCTCAGAAGGCTGTCGATACGCAATGTGCATTCAATGGTGGAACGGCCCGGGAGGAGCTTGACGACACGGAACTGCTTTAATGTAGAGCTCAAGGTTGTGTAGATTTCTAGTGCCATGTTCGCCCTCTAACAGAGGTTTCGGATGGGATGCAGTGAGGTGCAAGGCAAGAAATGCAGCCTTCTGCTGAAGTCCGTTTGCTTGATGATGGCTATTTGGCGTCATACAAGTACGCAGTGGCAGGCCTTAATGTTTGTCACACCGCCTTTGGGCAGAACCCATTCACCTGCCACGTCAAAGCCGGCTGTCAGATGAAGTGCGAGAGGTTCAAGGACCATGCCATCATTGAGGACGAAGAGTGAGGCGACTTTGACTCAGATTTTAACATGATCTGATTGCCAGATTCTTCACCAAGGTTTTATGAAAGCTTCCTTTCTCAAGGTAGGTAACATTTGACCATATCAATTGGACATGTCGATACGGTGAGGCTGACTTTTGACACAAAAATATCCTTGCGGATCAAACAACAGCTTGCAAATTATCAATACAGAGAGAGAGAGAAGACATTTGAAGATTGCCACTGGGCGCGAAAAGAGGAGTCGAGTAGACATTCAAATACCTTCCCAAGTGATGGTATTGAACTGGGATCGATTTATCGGTGGAAAATCGATATATTGGAGATTGACAATCTGTAGAATGACTAGTTTTGACTAGATACAGGAGAGTGATTCCATAAAAAACAGAGGGAATGGGTTCCCTAGCTATATTCCTGATTTCCACCCCACCATGTGATTTACCCCGCACTTACTTGGTGGTGGGAACGATTTACCAATCTGATTCCTGAACGCACGTTTAAGGAACGTAATCGAATGGCGATACTAATAAACGATTGGTGTGTTCGTACGTAAGTAATACCCAATAATCGGACGAACTGAATTAGTGGTTGAACCTGGAGTGGAAGGAAAGGATGCTAGCCAAGCTAGCTAGTTCAACAGATGGGCCTGTTCATCCAGGGCCGCAATCCTCTCTATTGTCACTGGTTCATTCCGGACCATGGACTTTACTTAGTCTACTGAAATTTGCCAGGTGGCAGCTTCTACCTTCCCTTTCCATGCACACAGAAAAAAAGATTCATAGAGCATTTTCCTTGGCGAGAGCCAGCCTTAACTCCAAACACCGTGCTGATGCAATCCGTGATATATCTCAAGCCTTCTTTGGCTTCTTGACGGGCTCCTCATCACTCACAACATCCTCTTCATCCTCGTCCTCCTCATCAGCAACATCCCTGCTCCTCTTCAGCCCCTTCATCTTCCTGGTCTGCAACTCCTTCAAATCCTGCTTGCCAAGATGGATCCTTCCAATCTTATCACCCACAATATCCGTCGAGATATTCTTCTTTGGCCTCTCCTGACTGGTCTTTGCCCTCCTGAGTGCCTCCTTCATTGTCTCCTCATCAGCCTCCTTAACCCTACCAACTCTAAAGTCCATCCTCGGGCCCATCTCCTCAACCTCCACCCTTGGCAACTTCTGTCCACTTCTCTTTGTACGAATGAGATAAACCCTCAAATGCACACTCGGCTTGCTCTCCTCTCCATCCACACTATCCCTCGTGCTAATGCTCACAATATACTGCAGCCCCTCAACATCCACCTTATCCGCAGGCTCGCCCTTGAAGAAATCCGTAAAGAAGCTCTTAGCCATTGTATACTCATCACTAACCGGGTTCTCAAACGGCGTTCCTGCGAACAAGAGCATAGGCTTTAATCCGACCGCACACTTCTTGTTCTTAAATTGATTCAACCTCCTGAAGCTCTCGGGATCAAGATACAGCTCTAGCATATCTAACACCTTATACGCAAACGTTCGGACGAGAGTGATGGTATGTGGGCGTTTCTTGCTTGAAGAACCGAAGACCAGGATCGAGGCATCGTTCTTCTCGGAGAAGAACTCGAGAGAGGCAGAGTCTTCGAAGGGGTGGACGGCGTTCTTTTTTGTGAATTTCTTGGCAAGTGGAATGCGCAGTTGGTACAGGTCGGTGAGAGCGTCTTGGACTATTTGGGAGCAGGTTGTGCCGCGGAGGAAGAGGGCGGTTTTGGGGTTTTCGGTGGGCTTTGGGGCCTTTTTGTCGAGGGCGCGTTTGCTGCGTGCATTGCGAGGTTTGCTGGGAAGGTTAGCATCAAGTGTCAATTATATGACAGAAGATATTGCTTACATTTGTCGCAACATCTTGACGTTGTGGTGTGGAATTGAGAAGTGGTATTGATCTTGCTATCGAGAACTTTTTTCGCTATCAGAAAATCGACAATCGATAAAAGTTTTTAAGGCATCAACTCTGGCTGCCTGGTGCCTTCACATGCGAATGCAAGCCTGCTGATCCCTGTCTCCATTACTCTGGGGTAAACTTCTCAATCCCACCTGCCTCGTGCCGAACCCATTCCTCCGAACACACCAACTTCTCCCCACAACAACAACTCACCTTCATTCGGTACAACTTCTTACTGCGAATTCACGATATAAGGACAGATGCAGACACGACGATAGCAACAACTCTTTCCTAGTGCGCCTGCACGTTTAGAATTGCCCGCCGCAAGTTACCGAGGCTCGAATCGGCAGAATGTCAGGAATTGAAGGTCTCAAGGTAGGCAGATTCTACTACCACCAGACCAGCGCAAGGTTGCTGACTGTTAATATGTATAGAAAGTACTTGAGAGTATTATTCTAAATCCGAAATATGCTCCTTTCCTTGCTGTGCTGAAAGCAGCTCGCAATGGCGCTGTCTACGGCGCCAAAGTCAGATTTCCACACGCGCTGGTGTAAGAAGACCTATCACATAAGGGGGGATGTTACTGATGTTGGTAGCATGATATTCTTGTTTCGGTCAGGCACTGTGCAGGAGAAAATGAAGCTCATTTTCCGCGCGACGAGAACACATGCCCATAATCTGGCGAAATATGCATCGATATACAAGGCGACGATGTTACTTCTGAGATACATGGGCTCTGAGCCTGGGAAAGAGGGACCGTACGATACATTCTTTGCGGGACTACTTGGTGGGTATGTGGTGTTTGGACGGAGGTCGAAGAGAGGGCATATTTCGAGTGTGAGCAAGCAGATTGTTATTTTTGGTGAGCAGGATCTGCGCAAGCTCTCCTTTTCTATCTAATGATGTCTAGTGTTCGCACGAGTCGTTCTGTCGTTGGCGGAACTATCGATTCGACCAAGCGCGGGAATTATAAGAAATAACGAACTCTCGAAACGGATAGGCCATGATGCATGGCCTGTGTTTGCCGCAGTGAGCTGGGCGAGTGTTATGTGGCTATTTAGATGGTATCCCGATACACTGCAGAGCGGACTGAGAAGCAGTATGGACTACATTTATGTGCAGAGTGATCATTGGGATGGTTTGAGGAATTTCTTGGTTTACAACAAGTAGGGAGGGACCATGCTTTCCAAGCAAGGGGAGAGCTGCTCGATATTCTATGGAGCCAGGCATGGATGGGACGGATAGACAGGCTGGAGGCCTCTTGCATATCGGTGGGATGGAGGCTGCATTTGTAGACTAGAAGATCTCATGGCACAGGAAATTATAGTATATTCAACGAAACCTTCGAGTTGAGGGGTTCCTTTCTCTCTCTCTCGAATTTCATTGTTGGCGAACCGACCTTCCGGATTGACGAACCGAATTTGAAACTGTTGTCGAATTCCGAGGAATTTTGAGTCGCTCCCTTCCGACTTCAGGATGAAAGTCGATATCCTTATGTAACAATCTATAAAAGAACCCAGTCCTTTGAGTTCGGATTCGGATTCTAAGATCTAAAATCTAGTCGAGTTCTGGGAACTTTTGATTCGCCGGGTCAGATTGAGAAAGGAGGTCGTCATCCTCACGTGACAATATATAAGAGCACCGAGGTTCGTTTTTTAATTTGGATTTTCATTAACTGTTCCTATGTAACAAACCGCTAAAGGGCCAAGTCCTGCGGATTCGTTCCCTTATGTAATAATCAGAAATTGTCGCATATCGAGAGGAATTAGCAGATATCTTGGTATATATCCTGCCCTTTTCATTCATATCAAGTTAGGTTCTTCATCCAAAGACATCAACAAGCCTTCGCAAGTACATGGTAAGTCAAGCCATCATATGTGAGTCCTTTAACTAATGAAAATTGACTTTCACGATGCCTACTTGGCGACCCCAAGAGCTCCAATGGGAGCCACATCCTATGCTGCGACACCGAGTACTGCCTGAGCCACCTCTCAAGGCCTCATTAGAGAAGTTCCTGCCAGAGATTAGGAAGAGGATTTATGATTATGTGCTCTTCACTAGAACAATTGCTCTGCAGTCTCAGTATATCGTTCGGATTATTCGGGGCAGATTGCGCATCACCACTCTCCGTTGTTTCCCATATCTATATGCCGACAAAGAAATCATGGCCGGACTTCTTCCTTGGCTGTTCTCTTAATGCCGACTGGAAATCAACGTCGTCCCTGATCACGACTTCAGTCACATTGTCTAAGGTGCTCTCCCGATCCCTTCATCTCAACATTACAGGTACAAGCAATCAGTACATCCTCCGAAACTACATCAAGAGTGTCAAGATCTGTCTCATACCCGTCGAAACAGGATTCATTGTTCCCAAGCAAAAGAAAAGGACATTCCGACGAGGTTTTCAAAAATTGAGCAAGGAGCTGAAGGGACACAGAGTTCCGAGGGATGTGGAGATCCAGGTTGCGAGCATACTTCTAGCGACTTTCCTCGGGCATAAGTTCGGATTTTCAAAAACATGTAAAGAAGGGGGGACGGTTGTCATGAGGTCCGCTTGTACTCAATGCCTAGGAACGGCCGGATCTTCAACTCGAGAAGTTCCACCATGATGATGGGGTGACCAAGCGATACTACCCTGAAATCAAGGGAACCAACGATGGATAAATGGTAAAAATAAAAAAAAACGTGCTCTGATCTCCGGCAATGCTAACTTAAATACAGAATTCCGACTTTCTTCTTAATATGGGAAAAGTGGCAGGTTGAAGTGTTCAAGTCGGGTTGAGACTTTGTTCCCGATTTTCTCGATAAAGGTGATTGGACGGTGGGACGATACGATGGTGGAAGGAATAAACGAAGTCTGCGATTTGAGAAGACTCCGAAAAGTGGTCCGGCAGGCTTCATTTGTCGACGATTCGAACGGGATCTCTTCAACTCAGTTTCTCCTGCCTCGCGCAAACAAAATTCTTTGATCTTGCAGACTTTTTCTGACTCTGTCGATTGAACTGCCTTTCTCGATTGTATATCATCATTTCTTTCCTTCAAACCTTCAAACATTCTCGGATGCATAGAGCAGGGCATACAGTCATGTGACTTGTTCTTTGAAATAGGGGCTCGCTTATGATCGGGTTCAAGGCAACTAAGGTAACTATCGCGAGGCTTCACCTTCCTTTCTCTTTAACAACCTCTAGAATGTAGGAAGGCGGTTTCGACACTTTCGTCAAGCTAGAGTGCATCCGGAAGCCATGTTTTGGATGCGAAGAGTCTAAAGTTTAGGAAACGCCCAGAGCTTGGTCACTATAGAGGGGTATTTTCCGGAGGAAATATCTGAAATCGGACCTGCGTCACAAGGCGGTTCTATTCCAACCGACCGAGTGGGTGGAGATGGTTGGCTGGGTTTTGTTCTCAACGACCCCCCCCCCCCGAAGAGATTCGGCGGACGTTAGTAGGGGAATTAGGGCCACTCCCGATATATAATTTAGTCAAAGTTTGCTGAGTGACGCAGCCTGTCATATGAAAGTCGACAGTGTGCAAACCCGCCTTCGGTCTCACAGAAGTAGAAGACTCTTACTAAGGTTGTGGTCAGGCAGGGATAAGCAATAGAGGCCGTGGAATACACGACGTAAATGTCCCCAAGACTTAATCACTCAAATAAGAAAATCATTATTTATGATCCTGGTGGATTCGAAGGGGAGAGTCCCAAATCTTTATGAAGGCATTGGAGTTCGTAGGGCCGAAGTAGAAAGAGCAGAAACTCTCAGCGCAGTTGCATTTCTTTAAGACGACTTAACCCCAAAATCAACCACACAAATAATCTCATCAACCTTCGCCCGATCATCCGCAACTTTCCACGCAACACTCACGCTCTTCCCAAACACCACCGCCTTAGCCGGTAGCGTCGCCTTCCAAAACACTCCATCTGAATCCTTCGTCAACGCCAGCGCCTGCCCCGCAACCACAAGCACGACTCCATCCAAATCCTGCCCACTAGCAGGCACAGCACACCAAACCGTAACCCCCACATCCACGCCCCTCCCCTGCGCCGTCGCCCAATACGGTAGCTGCGCTGCCCCAGCTAATATCGGCTCCACCGCCCTCCCCGCCTTCAACGCGTTCCACTCAACCGGAAACGCCGTCCTCAACCCAATAGCCGCGACCCCCGCCGTCGGCGCCGTCTTCGCCGCCCCTTGAAGCGCACTCCCGCCATCGCGCGCCGTGTACGAGATAGTCAGTATCGCATCCGCCACAGCCGCATACGGGAACTGCTGCGTTGGCGAGAGGGACAAGGAATACGTGCCCAAAACCCCCGCGTGCTCGAACGGCAGATACCGCGGATCGTCGCTCCGCAGCTCGAAGACGCCGGCATCGTTGACAGCGCTAGACGTCGCGGCCATTGTCGGTGGCGGGACGACGTTGTAGATAAAGCGCGGGTCGTTGCCGCCTGCCGCCTCTGGATAGCCGGATGCAGTCGCATTCGCAGTCGCAGCGCGGTAGCGGCTCGAGAGCAGGCGGAGGGTGGCGGAGACGGAGGTGTAGGGGCCGACGACGCAGGGGATGGAGAGGGCGATGTTTTTGGTGCGGCGGAAGTAGTGGCCTGGGAAGTCGAGGTCGAAGAGCGTTTCTGGGAGCGAGAACATGCAGGTACCTGCTGTGCGGAGGTTGAGCAGGGCGGTGGGGTCGAGCTGCGCGAGGGAGATGGACTTGGTGAGTTCGAGCTCGCGCATGTGCCGGTCTATGTAGGCGGTACCTAGGCGGTCGAGAGCGAGTTGGAGGTCTCCTCCGGCGAGGAGGCCGCTCCGCAGGTTGTCCCAGTAGCCGTACTGTATGAAGGCTGACGAAGCGGAGAAGTCGCCGAGCTCGAAGGCCATGCAGCGTTCGGCTTTCTTGGCCATGCTGAATGCTAGCTGGAAGGCTTGGTAGTACACGCCTGAGACTCGCCGTACGGCCCAGTCGTACAGTTCTGTGTTGGTGAATTTGTTTTTCAGATAGGCGGCGGCAGATGCTGATTCCGTGGCCGTGGTGTCGTGGGCCACAAGTTCAGCTTGCAGAGTTGCTCCTGTTCCGTTTGCCGCTGCGATTTCGGCGTCGATATGGGCCATATCTCCCTGGGCGAGGGCCATCTGGAACTGCCATTCTGCAGTACGCCGAGTGTAACTGGCCTTTGTTGAATAAAGCCCCGCCTCCGTTGCGAGGATGCTACGAGCAGAAGCAGCAGCAGCCATCAAACTGGAGATGGAACCAGCGACGTTACTCCCGCCAAAGGAAACAGTCGCTGATGGGGATCCGCCAAAGCCTTCCACCCCGACACTGAACGAGGGAACCAAGTTGGCCTCGGCAGCGGCAACGTGGCCCAGCGCCATCACCCCATCGACGACAATCGCGTCCGCGTTCTTGGACAAGCTCAGCTGCTCCTCGGGGTTGATGGGCACGGTGAGCAGCCCAGCGTAGTACGCCTGCCGCTCCTGAGCAACCGCCTTTCCTGCCTGCAGCGCCTTGATCGCAAGTGCGTTCTGTGCAATGGCTGCAAGTTTCACGCCCCGGACGGACGCGAGGACAGTGAGTTCGCTCTGGGCACGGAGACGCGCCAGGCCTTCAGCATCGCGCTTCTCAAGCACGGCCAACAGCTGCTGGCCGAGCTCTACAACATGCTGTACGAGGGCTTGCGCTCGTTCAAGCACGTAGCCGAACCGGTAGTGTGGCAGAGGCGCGTTCAGTCCACCGATAATATCAGATAGGGAAGCGCCAGAGGCAAGGGCTTTGATCAAGGCGCCGGGGTCGATGGGGGGTGATGTCAGGGCGAGTTGGATGAAGTTTCCGTTGATGTCCTGGCTATGGCGGATCTTGTAAAGTCGGTCGGCTACCAGGTCCCAGAGCTGCAACATGTTGTCATTTGGCGGGATGCCGAAGTAGAGAGACGTGAGGGGTGGTGCTGGGGGCTGAGGGAGCTCTTTACCGCCATGGGGAAGGGAGCCAAGATCGGGAATTAGGTTCTCAATTCCGAGCAGGGCGTTGCCCAGAATATCAATGCTGCTACCAAGTTCGTTGTAAGTCCGCACTGGAACTGGGACGGCAGGTTGGACGGTTTGTGGCTTCGATCCTAGCAGTTTATCTGCAACCATATACAGCGTCGACGCCTGGGTGATCGTCTCCCTGGTCAACTGTGCGAACAGGTTATCGCCCCAGCCAAGCAGGTTCTGGACATACTTCATGAAAATACACATTTGGTACGCGACTGGTCGGGTCCGCGCAATAACGTGAGGTGAATAGGGGTTGGTCCTCCAAAGCCGAACTTGGGTCTTCAAGTCGTTGGCGAGCGAGAATCCATTTGGGTCCGCGGCGACAGCTCCCAGTATACTATCGATCCTCTCGCTGATGTAATCCTTGACCTGGGTTCTGAAGAACGGTTGCGTTTGCCAGTATTTCTTCTGGGGTGCAGTGGCTCGGTCTGGTCCTGTGTCTGGGTCTTCCAGATCCGCGCCCTCGGGGTTGAAGATGTAATGATACCAGTCCTGCGCCTTGTCGAACTGCTGGTCGTCGCTCAGGCTTGAGGCGATCTGGAATGGGAGGTGGAAGAATAACTCCCAGTTGTACCCGGCATACGGCCCGCTGAGGGAAAAGTCGAGCTCCTCGCGAGGGTACGGCTGTCTGACAATAGCTGTCGGCTGATATACAGTGTTAAAGTCGAAGTTAGTGACTTGCAGTTGTGTCGTTCGTGCCAGGAGCCCAGGGAGGCCGCTCGAGTACAGCTGTGAGCGAAGAAAGCATACCAGCGGGTGATAAAAGCTAGCCATATCTACCTTCAGTTGACGGAGCTTAGGTCCCCGGATATTTGTCGCATCGACGTAAACGGACAACAGTTCCTTCTTGAGGGTTTTGTATTCATCATCCTCATTGACCAACTTGCGCAGCTCCGTTATATTCTTGTTTATTTTGTTGAAGTACACATCGATATACTTCAGCACCAGCACCACCACTCTGTTGAAGAAATTGAGCGTAGCCGACGCCGTCCTGAAATTCGTGTCGTCTGTGTTGGAGCTCTCGTAGCCAGGCGTAATTACATATTCACGTGTGGACGAGTCGCTCACAAAGTACGGCAGGAATATCCCCTGCGGCACAATAAGTCTGCGATATCCCTCGCTCACCATCATTTCAGTCGTCTTACTCCCCGATGCAGACAAACCCAGCGCATACATTTCCCAAGCCACGAACGCGCGGTCGATAATCGTCGGCTGAGTAGGATACGTGACCACAAATTGTCCATACTCCTTCCCTAGTAATATGTCATACTCGCTCCCGCTGAGAACCGTCATGATCGCCAGGTCAGAAGGGGAATTCGTCGCGAGGTCCTGGCTTTTCACGAACCGTTCCGTCACGTAATCGGTATTTCGGAACGCAGGGAGCGTGTAGAAATAATAAGCCAGTTCTCTCTTTGTCGAAGAAAATGGGACGGGGTAGCCCTTACAGCCAGTCATATTGAAGGCCCCAAACACATTAACGGCGATGCGACCTACTTGCGTAGAGACATTTTCGCACACCATGATCGCCTGTCCTAAATTCCCGCCAAAATCCCAGTAGAACAGGCCGATCGAGTCTTCGAGCGAATCCGAAAAGTCAGTTGCGGGACTGTACGAATTATTTTGTGGCCAATAGACGCCGTCCTCGCCCACCACCCGTGCCGACCATTTGCCCGTGTCGGGGTTCTGCTCGCTGACCGCCAGCTGGACTTTGAGCCGCTGCTCGATCGGATCGGCGCTCTTTTGGCTGCCGTCTGAGTTTGTGAGGTTGTTTGGGTCCGGATATGGTGGTGGTTGGTTTACTTGGTTCGGGTTTTGTTCGTATGTGAAGACGGGCCACATCACTGTTAATCGGTTGCTGCGCAAGAAGCTGAGGAGATGGTTGCCGGTTATCTCCACGCCATCTAGCTTCTCCCATGGGCTCCAGACTGCTTCGAGGACCAGGGTCCGGTGATAGTACACCCTTGGGTTCCCTCCTTTCGTTCTTGCGAAAACATGGAGTGTGCTGGATGGAACGTCGTAGAAGCAACTCATAACCTCAAGTTCGGCGATGCTATCCAAACCACTCAGATACCCAGCGACAGCCAGCTCCGAAGTTGTGGTTGTAATTGGCTGCTTCTTCAACTCTTCTTCAAGTTGGACGTACAGCTCTGATTTATTATCACGCAACTCCGGCTCGATCCATGTTTCGGGATAGAGGAACACTTTCTTGTTTGCCTCCCAGAGACGGTATTGAGACATTTCAGCCCAGTGTGACCAAGTTGGATCGTCGACAAGCGGTGTGGGTTCCAAGCCCATCAACAGGCGCTGAGCAAACTGCTGCACCGACTGGTGTGCTTGAATGATACGAGATGTTAGAGTCTCGGTGCTCATCTCGACGTCTATTAGGAGGATCTCGGACAAGTCTGTAGCAGAAGTTAGGTTCGGCTTGTTGTACGCGAGCAGGTAATCGATAAGGGCATCGCGCTTTTGAAGACGCAACGGGTCCTGAATCGTTTTCAGAACATCGAGCCAGTCCGAGTTCACCAAGTAGCGCAACTTCAAGGCGTTGCGTGCAGCGGCAGTATCATCGAGGCTCGGTGTCTGTGCTTCTGCCAGAAAAATAGCATTCGCAGGTGGCATATTCAACTTCCGAATGATATTTGCCGCGCTGTCGAGTTTCCGCAAGGTATCCGCGCGCTTGAAACTGGGATTCTTGTATCCAAAGCTTGTAACGAGCGCCGATATGATCGTTGGATCGTTTGCCGTGAGGCTGCAGAAGTATGGTACTAGAGGGGTGGGGTCCGGCCCTTGTGGTTCGGTGGCAAGTACAAGGCTCAAAAAGCCGTTCAAAGTGAACGGCGAGTTTTTATCCGCGGAATTCTGCACGTCGGGGAATTCTGCGGCGTTGACAACCGCGATGTAATCTATTAGAGCTAACCACGAGTCCCAGCTGATAGGCGGCCTGGTGCTCAATGTAGGCAACGAGGACAGGGTTGCCCATCCCAAAGAGCCAGCATTCTGTAGTAACCAAGAAAGGTTTGTTGTGGAAAGGCCAAAATTAGGAAGAAGGAAGGATAGTCTGAATATCAGCAGTATGGCCTGAAACTGCTGGGGAAAGTTGGTATCTGTAATGGTTCCTGCAGCTAGCTTTTCATCCAAAAGCGATTGCAGCGAGGGAACTCCTTGGAGCAAAGCTGCCGTGACATCCGTATCGAAATTGAACGCGTCAGAGAGAACACCCTCGAGGGCGGTCTCTCGTTGCAGTTGGGCAAAATATGCGCTCAGCGTATCAGCAACAACCTGCACCAGCATATTTTGCAGACTTGTATCGCCTGGAGAAGCGGCAAACTGAGACTGGGCTGTCGCAATAGTTGCACACGCAACTGTGCCAATAGAAGCAAGTTTGTTGTTAATCAGCGCTTCACCGTCTGATGCATTTAAACCGCTGTCGAGCATTTGTCGGAAGAGAGACAAGTCGGTTTGACTCACTCCTTGGATCTGCGAGATCAAAGATAATGCGGCAGTCTCATTCTCGGTTGCCGTCAACGTGGCATCGTATGGAGATTGGTTAGCTCCCTGGATCGTAAAGTACTGGCCCTGGAGGTTGATGAGGATTTCAATAATCTGCGTGGTGGTGATATCTGCAGAAGAGGGTGGGGTTGTCGGTGGTTGTGTGATAAATTGGATATTTGGGGCTGATAGGTTTTGTGCTTGCAGTTTTGCTACTACTTCGGTGAAGCTCTCGAGGTGACCAAGATCTTGAAGCGGCGTGAGACTGCTCAACTGCGTGAACAGGAAGTAGTCCGATACTGACAGCCCTAGACGGCGGGAAAGCGAAACCACTGCATAGACTTTCGACAGGTTCGCAATAGTTAAGATGGAATTTGCCGGTTGCGTCGCTATCGATTGAATGATATTCGTAGCATCGGAAGATCCGATGCCAAGGCACCGAGCTATGTAATCTACGGAGTCAGAGAGTTTCGGGGGTGCGGCAGGAGGTGTCGTCGAGTCGTTTAGGCCAATAGTTCGAAGTTCAAACAACGGGTCAACTGGGCCATGTGCTGTGGCATTAAGGAATAAACTCGTGTAAGTAGTACCGAATTGTGTCAAGGCATCGCTTGGAGGTAAAATACGTAGCATAGCGAAGAGGTCAATTACGTCCTCGAGGGTGGTTGTAATTTGACTGCTGAGTAGCTTCGCGGCACGGGCAACAGCGGTGACAGTCGATACGCAGTCCGTGTTGAGCTTCATAGCGCCGAGAACTGGGGACGCGATAACTCTATCAAGGCTGCTGATAGTCCATCCGCTTTGAGCGTCCCCGGTCAAGGCCTTCCAAAGTCGAATAAATCTATGCATACGGTCTAGTGCTGGACTATCGAGAGTTTCGATTTCCTTGGCATTCAATGTACAGGTGCTGTCTAAATGCCTGACATACATAGCGCCGACCAATGTGACGGAAGAGTTTGTCGGAGGCATCGCCGGAGGATTCAACCAGCCGGTAGCAGCAAGCAGTGTTTGGAGATCGGTGTACTCGATCCTAGTGGTAGTTATGAACGTCTGGATATTTTTCAGGACCGTCTCGGGATTGGTGGGGTTGCCCGTATTCCAGTATTGGTCCTGATTGTTTTCATCACTGCTTGTTATAAGAGAACCCTCATCAAAGCTGAGGTTGAGTTCTTCGAGTGAAATATTGTAGGCCAGTGCTGGCTGGGCAATTTTCCTCATCAACTCGTCGCGTGGGACACCAAGCTGACTCAGATAGGCACGACACTCTTGGAGGGTTGCATTGAACGGTAGCGAGGGCAGGTATGTGCTTTTCGAGACTCTATCATATGCAACCGCATTTAGGTAGGCAGGGCTAGCGGCAAGGGTGGCAGCATCACCATATGTCTGTCGCAAGACACGAACACTTTGGGTTCCGGGACTCAGCGACACCACAGCTGACTGATCTCTCACTGTCCTATACCCCCCGTTGTAGGTATCAGAGACGAGGGCGTCCTCGGTGAACGGCAAGTTCAAGTCGTCTCTCAGGAATCCAAGAAGAGTAGTTGATATCTTGCCTTTTGTTACCGTCCCAGAGAACGATCCAGGGCTGAGCCCATCCGGCGCTACAAAGTCTTCCAACAACTCGCAAACGAGGTCAATATACGGTAGAGTGACATTTGTGTTGTTGCAGCTAAGATCAAGGTCTGCCAAATCTGGACGGCGCTTGAACAGCACGTCGCGAGCCATTTGCCCGTTGTTTGGACCGCCAACGGAGTCGAGTACACCGCGCCAGCTCAGGAACTCTAGCACATCAACTAGATAAGCTGAAGGGCTGTACACCGTCATGCAGTCTGAACATGCACACACATCGCCAATCTCAAACAAGGTGGCAATATTAGGGAAGTTCTTGGTCAAATCTTCAAGTTTCGCAGGTGGCAATGGTTCTGATATACCTGCGGGGAGCATTGCATTTGCCGCGCTGTGGAGATTCCCAGCCAAAAGCGAGGTGGCGAGGCGGATATTTGCTGCGCGATCGAATGTTTCTGCAGCTTCGGCAGTGGTAAACGAGGAGGAGTTGGATGCTATTTGAAGAAAATGCGCTCGGCTCATGCTAGATATATGTGTGGCTGAATGGACGCCAATGTCAAGGAGTGCCTTTGTCTTGTCGAAGGTTGGCGCAAGTTTGAAGACTCGTTGGACCATTGCGATGCTTCGTGCCTCTCCGCTGTCAGATGCAGGAGTCGACTTCGCAAGCTCTATCTTGCTCGTCTGCATGTCAAACTCGGAGTTTTCTTGTAAGAAACTTGCTATTGCGTGCGCATCTATGGCAAGAGACTCGTGCCCAAGAGTGACAGCTTTGGGCCTGTCTTCCGGCTTCGAATTTTCTCCTGTCGCACTTACTACCGTAGATATACTCTTACGACTGTTATCGATATAACGTCGTAACTTCGACGTGAATGCAGCTGTTGGGAATTCCTTCTCCAATTCCCGTGCTAGATCTTCTGTAGCTGCTGTGGATTCTTCGGGAGACAGTTTTTCATCACCATTCCCCATAGCAGTGCTTGCGACCAAACCTTCCAAACTACTCTGGTCCATTGCCGCAAGATCTCTGCTTGATTTCGAATGGGCAGCTTTTAACTTCTCAGCTACCGCCACGGAAGTCGGCCGCTGTCTTTCCTCCGTTATTGCCTGCGTAGCAGTTGCGGTCTTCGTTGCGATGAAAGCTTCTTGCAAAGTGACCAAAAACCCGCTCCAATCTCCCTCGATATTGTCTCCATTTAGTACTTGACGGACTGCCTCTTCCTTGCCAGATTGCAAGAAATCTGCAATCATGGTCCAGAGATTGTCTTCTGCAGTCGGCCTGGCTATTATCCACTTATCTGAGATTGGTCTCAGCTTCGTCCAGGCGGCTGAAAGATCTATATCGTTCACCTTCGAGGACACAAGGTCCTGGCTAAGTGCATCACTGACAGCCTGGGATATCAGCGAAACATCTAGCAGACCAAATTGATAGAGCAATGAATCAGGTGGTGTCTCTAAAGTGACATCTGCAAGTCCAAGATTGGAGGGATCCTGTGATGCAAGGTGTTGATTTGTGTTGGTTGCCAGCAGAGCGTAGAACACCTCTGCTGAAATGTTTATCTTTTGTTCGGTTGCTACCTGGGCGATACGATACGCCAAAATCGTTTGGCTGAGGTTTGTTGTAGTCAAGATTGCGGGTTTGACCCGAGTAAGGTAACTGATATCCTGAACCTGAGCATCCTCATGAAGTGGGCGGATTCGGTCACCAATACTGGAGTCTAGGGTAATCTTTACACCATCCTTCGGCGTTGTCTGCTTCTCAGCAGGAGGCAGCACCTGGTCGAGAGCCGTGACGACCTGTGTGAATTCGTCTGAGGTTGGGGCTGACGGTGCTTTCTGATCCAGCGTGATGTTGATCAATGCTAGTATAGGCGCGTCGTAAATAACCTCGTCGACGCTTGGCGTGTAGAGGACGGTTTTATGCAGCAAAACTCGAGGGACAAGATTTGGACGTCTTCCGCTGTCACCACGAAGGTAGTTTTCGCAGCAGTACTGCACCGCAAGGAATCCATCAGCCCGCACCCTTGGGCTGGCAATCAATTTCTCTCGATTCAGATCTCTGTCCGATATGGCTACGGACAGTTCAGAGCTGGTGGAGCCATCGGCGTAGTGAACACTGCCGGCCACGAAAAGGATCCTGGGGTGGTTCAAATCAACGTTGGAGCTGACTAACTGGGCATACAAAACTGCTGCAGTCTCTTGATCAACTGTCCCCGATGGTTGGCCAGCGAGGAGATTGTCATGTTCTTCCTGAAACTTCAAGACAGCGATACGTGTGCCCGGTCCGAACGTCGCCATCGCGAGCTCTGACGGTGGTAGATAACCGTCCAGCCCATCTTTTCCGCTCCTTGTTACTGTGCGCAGAAGGAGCAGATAGGAGTGAAGGAGTGTAACTGGAGGACCTACTGATCCTATTTTGAGGATTGCGAAAATTGCCCGTCCCGGCTGTAGATATGATGCCATTGTTGTTTTCCGCACGTGACGCCCGTGCGGCTTCCAGGTTGTGGCGCGAGAAGGGGTTCCCCCAAAACCAATGGAATTATGTTCACAGCGATGTATGAAGCAGATGTAACGAGAGTTAGTGATTTTGATTTTGACAGCTTGAAGTGCCAACGTAAATAGGAATAGACTTTTGATATGTCAATCGGGAAAGTTAAAGCGGCACTGACGCCCGAAATGTAAGTCTTCGGATCTATCAGCCTTCAGCCTTCAGGTGGCCACGCCACCCCCTCTTTAATATCACCATTCCCTTGACATCAGCCAAGCATGAGACATGGGAAAACGTTTTGGCCAACAATATGCTCGTCGCGCCATAGACTCTAAATTTACGTTCTACTCGCATGGATATCATGGGATATGAAAACATAAAATCGAATACGGAAAGATTAAATATAGAGACATTTCAATTCCAGTATCGTTAAAGTAAAAGAGGGGGAAACAAAACTGCTCCATAAGCGCATAAGTCACTAATCAGAGGAAGTATTCAGTGAAGTGCATGTATCGGCTTGCTTGAAACACCTTTTCCGTGAGGAAGAAGGTGAACTAAAAGTTTGAGGAATGTAGTGGTAGTTGATCACGTGACAACCCCAATGCCCCCGGTTTCACCAGCACGTTGATCTAAAGCTTGGCGAGTTAGAGCCATGATATCCGCAGTAACAAAAGAAAAGTGATACGAAAAGCTGCATAGAGCGAATGCCAAGTGGTAGCTTTGCGATATGAGGTGCTGAGCTGGCCCGACGGCTGAATCCGTCAAATTCTTGACGGTTCTTTCTGATTTGTTGTAGCTGAATCAGTCACGTTCAGCTGATCGGTTCGGTCCCAAAACCCAACTCCAAGCGGCGACGCGCATGCTCCATGGTGGACGCCTCATAAAAGCCACACAGCTCCGTGTGGTGCATGTGCCAAGATTCGGAACTCTGCGCGTTGCTGTTCTATTGAGGAGCATCGAAAACGGTACATGTTAACCACATTGCAGCATTTTCATTGCCAACAGCTAACATATCTTGTCTCTCTTTGTTTACTACGAGGCACTTTATACATTACCATTAAACCGTCTACCTTCAACAGCATCGATTTGATTATTTTGATATACTTGCGATTCCCTCTTTTGTGTTGTTGAAATTAGCTCTCGTGCGGAATTCGCTCATTGCTCGTCGTAGAATGAGCCGAGAATGGAAGAGGAACGACGAACTTCGCAAGCATATGCTCCACGGAAAGACACCTCCAAAACAGTGTCAGGTGTAGGAAATGGGGTCTCACCACTTCAGCAAACTCCTGTTCCAGGAGCGTCTCTTCCTAAAGGTGGCGGAGCTATTCGAGGGATGGGAGAAAAATTCGAGGCAAATCCTGTGACAGGGACAGCCAGTATGAGCGTTCCACTCATGGCAAGCCCCGGCCGCGGCGGTGTTCAACCTACCCTAGCTTTATCGTATGACTCGGCGTATGGAAACAGTCCCTTTGGTTTCGGCTGGTCTCTCGGTATCGACTCAATTACCAGAAAAACAAGCAAAGGATTGCCACGATACAGAGACGATCAGGAGTCAGACGTTTTCCTGCTGTCGGGTGTCGAAGATCTTGTTCCCATTCTGCGTAGTGATGGATCGAGGTACGGGGATATGACCACAGTGCCTGGCTATGCTATCCAGAGATACGGCCCACGAGTTGAAGGGTCGTTTCAGAGAATTGAGAGATGGTCCAACATTGCGGATGTATTGGAAAGTAATCGATTTATTGATGGAAAATCGATATATTGGAGTTTGACAATCTGTAGAATGACTAGATACAGGAGAGTGAAGAGTAAAAAAGGAGAGGAGGGAATCTAAAGTACAGTTCTTATATACCCACTAGTGGGTGGCGATTTCCTCCAGTATATTATAAATCAGATGACTCATATATATTAGTGAGCGTTCCCTGAGCTTCCATAGTGAGCTATTCCATAGGCTTCCATAGTAAACTATTATAAATGAGAGTGGCGAAGCTAATATTAGTAATTGAACCTGGTACTGGAAGGACTAGTAAGCTAGTACCAATTCAACAGGATGCCACAGATATTCATTGGCGTGTCTACAACCAAGAAGACTTGCTCAGCATTTACGGACGCTCCGATAACTCGCGGATCTCCAATTCAGAGGCACCAGAGCAGATATTCAGCTGGCTGCTAAGTGATCGCCGTGACTGGAAAGGCAACTCCATTCTCTTCACATACAAGCCTGATAATGGCCAGGGAGTTGATTTAACCATGCAGCACGAACAGAGCAGAGGCGGACTCGACGACAGTCGCCGAAAGGTGAACCGGTACGTGAAGTCTATTAAATATGGAAATCAGACATCACTTCTTGACAGCCAAGGGCAACGCCTGGTGTTTCCAAGTCAAGATTTCTTGGACAATGCGGGTTGGCTCTTCGAGCTGGTGTTTGATTATGGGGAGCATAATATACCCACACCGACTCCTGTAGAAGAGGTGAATTGGCCTCGTCGTGCCGATTCATTTTCAAGCTACAAATCTGGGTTTGAGATCCGGACTACTCGGCTTTGCCAGAGGGTCTTGATGTTCCACCACTTCGCAAATGAAGCAGAGCTGGGGATCAACACTCTCGTCAGCTCTACGGATCTTATTTATCGAGTCCCACAACCAGGTGGAGAAAACGGTGTTTATACATTCCTCGATGCCATTGAACACTCAGGCTATCGAAGAAGTAGCGATGAAAGTAGCGGCTACATCAGACGCTCGATGCCGCGTCTGGAATTCAAGTACTCCGAACCTGTCATCGACGACACATTGCGATCTATAGATCCTGCGACTCTACAAAATGTTCCTGTCGGGCTAGCGTCTTCAGACGTCCAGTGGATTGACCTATACGGAGAAGGCATTTCTGGAATGCTAACACGGACTGACCGAGCTTGGTACTACAAGCGCAATATCAGTCCATTAAACGAAAAGCTGCAAGCAAGCGGCTCCTTGATTCCCGAGCCACTTTTTGACAACCTAGAAGCAGTTCAAATCATGCCGAACTTGCCTTCAGGGCAGAATTTCACTTTTGCAGATCTCACGGGAGATGGTTGCTTGTCGATTATTACCGAAAATGGCTCCATGGGCTATTATGAGGAAGACGGTCTCGAAAGTTGGCTACCTTTTCAGCCTTTCGAGCATCCAATCAAGAATTATTTGGGAGATCCTAGTGTGAAATTAGTTGATCTTACCGGTGATGGTCTAATGGACTCGTTTATGACCAGCCAAGCGATCTGGTATCCATCGCTAGGCACTGCCGGCTTTTATGCACCAGAAGGATTCATGGTACCATTTGGCGATGACAACCTTCCCACCCAGGTATTCCGAAATGATATTCTTGGCACGGTTTACCTTGCAGATTTTACAGGAGATGGCTTAACAGATATCGTGCGGATTAGCAATGGCGAAATATACATTTTGCCGAACATGGGATATGGCAAGTTTGGGGGCAAGATTTCCATGGACAACGCCCCTGTATTCGATACCCCGGAGTTTTTTGACCCGAAACGTATTGTTCTGGCAGACATCGATGGATCTGGCACCGCGGACATCATCTATCTGCATGCCAACGGTGCTCAAGTCTACTTCAACGAATCGGGGAACAGTTGGAGCAGCGGTCAGCTCTTAACTTCAACCCAAAACTTTTCAAAACTGCTGAATGTCAAGGCGACCGATCTTCACGGGAATGGAACCACATGCCTGGTAATTTCCAGTCCTCTGCCGGCCGACCCATTTCCAATGCAGTACATTGATTTGATGGATTCTACCAAGCCACACCTTCTCATCCAAATCGACAATAATCTAGGAACGTCTACACAAGTCAAATATAGTACCTCCACGAAGTTTTATCTTCAAGACAAAATGAATGGCATGCCATGGATAAGTAAGCTGGCTTTCCCCGTTCATGTTGTCGAGACACTTACTACCTACGACTACATTAGCGAAAATAAATTCACCACCCGCTATTCCTATCACCATGGACACTATGACGGCGAAGAGCGAGAGTTTCGAGGTTTTGGCATGGTTGAAAAATGGGATGCTGAAGAACTTTCGGTAGTTGTTGCACAGGGGCCAAATGGAACGGACGCAACAGCGTCATTCACGGTGCTGCCAACACATACCAAGTCGTGGTTCCATCTCGGTATCTCTATTAGCGCCGATATAGTCTCTTTAATTTACGAGAAAGAGTATTTCAAAGATCCCGCAGCCTGGGCTCTCCCAGATACAGTCCTTCCGGATATTACCGCAGCCGATGAGCACGACGCTTTCCGGACCTTGAAAGGCCGAATACTGCATCAGGAAATCTTCATCGACGACGCACCGCTGGGGCCATCTGCAGAGGCGATAGCAAAGTCCTTATTACCCGTATCTATCACAGAAACGAATTTCACGTTGTCACAAGTACAACCCAAGGCAACCAACCGCAGCGCAATCTTTTTCGCTACTCCACGTGAGACCCTCTCTTACCACTACGAGCGAAACCTTGATGACCCACGCATAAATCACGAGATGGTGCTCGAGAGCAATAGTTACGGACAAGCCCTCCGCGAAGTTGCGGTAGCCTACGGACGGCTAACAGCAGATGCCACGCTGCCAACTCAGAGGGATAAAGATGTGCAGGCAAAGAAGTCCCTTAAATATTCGGAGAATCAAGTAACGAACGATATCAGGGACATTACCAAGTAGCCAAATTCTTACAGACTTCCTGTTAATAGTCAGCGGCGAGTATTTGAACTCACGGGGATGGATCCTGAAGTTATAGGACAGAGCTTTACGTACGACCAATTCTCTAGAAACAAGTTCGAACTTCTAGAACATGCTACGGAGATTGGCTACGAGGTCTCACCCGATCTCACAACGCCCCAGAAGCGACTTTTAAATATCTCCCGCATACTATTTCGGAGGGATGATTTGACTGGCCTGCTACCTCTTGGCCAGATAGGTGCATCGTGTATCCCCGGCCAAAACTACTCGCTCTCCTTCACAACATCTATGATCAACCAAACATATCAAAAGAACGGCGTCCCTCTCCTTTCTGACCCTGCTAGCTTACTCACTAGTCTTGCGGGTGATGGGGGAGGGTATGTTGCTAGCACAGATCTCAAGTCTTCGGGCCTATTTCCAAGCGCCGATCAGTACGATGGTTATTGGGTATCCAGCGGACTCAGCTTCTATTCTCTATCTAGCAATACTTTGACTGAATTATCTGAAGCCCGTGCTCACTTCTACACTAGTCGCAGATACCAAAATCCCTTTGGAGCTGAGACTTCTATTACCTACGACGACTATGACATCTTGATTCTGGAAACGCAGGATCCGGCAGGAAATATTGCGACCATTGGTGAAAGAGATTCTACTGGGAAGAAATTATCCAATGGAAATGACTATCGAGTCTTGCACCCACGCATAATTACGAACGCAAATGGCAACCGATCTGCAGTGGCTTACGATGCCCTGGGAGTCGTCGTTGGAACTGCAGTGATGGGAAAGCTAGAAGATGGCTTGAAATTTGGAGACAATCTAAGCGGGTTTGGACCCGATCTTCCTGAGCAGGTTGCGTTAGATCACCTAGCCAATCCCACCGTGAACGCAAAAGACGTCTTACAGGGTGCTACATCTCGAATTATCTACGATTTTTTCGCTTATGTACGGACTCAGAATACGAACAACATACAGCCAGTGGCAGCCTACTCCATCTCACGAAGCACACATGAGGCAGACCTAGAGGCAAATGAACTCCCCGAAATGCAACACTCGTACGCATACTCTGATGGCTTTGGGCGTATCATCCAGTCCAAGGTCCAAGTAAAAGCTGGGCCCGTGTCCAAACGTGGTCCCGATGGCCGAATTTTGCTGGGGGATGATGGCCAACCCATCTTGACTGACGAATCGGTGGATCCACGTTGGATATCGAGCAGCTGGGTCATTAATAACAACAAAGGCATGCCTGTCGCCAAATTCGAGCCATTTTTCACCGATCTTCACACATTCGAGTTCGACACCAAAACTGGCGTATCGCACATTGTGTTCTATGATCCACTGGGACGCATTGTAGCAGATCTGCACCCAAATAACAGCTATGCAAAGAATCTGTTTAGTCCTTGGTCCAGTGAGCAGTGGGACAACGACACTATCGAGCTTGATCCTGTGATTGACCCTGACGTTTCACAGTACACTTCGTCATACTTTGCGCAAAACCCCAACTTCCAAACATGGCTCCAGCAGCGAGTAAATAAACCACTAGGAGACCTGGACAAACAAGCTGCTGAGAAGACTAGGGCTCACGCCCGCACTCCTAAAGCGACCTATTTAGATCCTCGGGGGCGTGTTTACCTCATTGTTAACTGGGATAGGGTGGTATGTCCCGATCATGAACTGGATGAAACCGAGTGGAAGCAATATACTCGAATTGAACTCGACATTGAGGGACATAAGCTAGCTGTTAGAGATGCCAACACCGACGGTACTGACCTGCGTGGTCGCATCATCGAAACCTCTACTTACGATATGCTCGGACGAGAAATGAATCGCCAATCCATGGATACTGGAACAAGGATTTGGCTTTTAAACGCACTTGGCAACCAGCTGAAGCTATGGGATGATAGAGGGCATGAAGTGAAAACTGTGTACGACAAAGCATGTCGCCATCTCTACTCCTCCGTGATTGGCGATGTGGACGCCGTTGGTGGTCCCTCGTCAGAAGTCATCTTTAACTACACAATTTTCGGCGAGCATCACCCTCAGGCCACCGAGTTGAACCTGCGAGGCGAAATTTATTTGACTGCGGACCAGGCGGGTATTACGGTGAAAAAGAAGAGAGATTTCAAGGCAAACCTGCTGGAGAGTGCCAAACAGTTCAATGTCGAGTACAGGAACACGATCGATTGGTCTGGAATCACCTCTGTTATTCCAGTGGATATGGATCCACAGGCTGCTTATGATGTAACCAAGTTGCAGACAGTGTTAAACTCAATGCTGCAAATTGAGACATTTCAAGACACCGTCGACTACGATGCATTGAATAGAATGGTGAAAGTATCCTCGCCGAATTCCGATGGCAAACCAAGCACAACAAGATTTACGTACAAAATCACAAGTCTTGTCCAAATCAACGCCAATATGCGCAACGAACTCTCTCCCACAGGCGATCCAGTCTGGACCTCGTTCATCAGCGATCTCGATTATGACCCCCGTGGACTTAGGAGTTACATACGCTACGGTAATGGGGTAACTACGACCTATAATTACTCCAACATCGGCGAATTGACGCGGCTCCTGTCTACCCGAATCTCCAGTTCGGGCAACACCGAGGCCTTGCAAGATCTAAACTACACCTATGATGCTAGTCAGCACCACACGAATATTTCAGATAATGCTCTCCAGACAATATACTACAACAACCAAGTGGTAGAGCCAACGAACGACTACACGTATGATGCTCTCTACCAATTAATCCGTGCAACCGGTAGAGAACATTTGGGTCAGCCAGGCGGTTCGCCAATCCCCTACAGCAGCAATGATTCAGCAAGGAGCGGGCCGCAGCCAGGCGATGAGAAAGCCATGGACAGGTACACTGAGGATTATGTGTACGACCACACTGGAAATACGAAGAAAATGAAACACAGCGTGAGCGATCCCACAGCCTTAGGCCATATATGGACAAGGACCTTCGAGTACAACGAACCGAGTCAGTTGGAGCCAGCGAAGTTTGGAAACCGACTCACATCAGCAACTGTCGGGGCGGCGGCTGAGAATTTCAGCTATGATGCACACGGAAACATGGTTCGGATGCCTCATCTGGGGGGCGCAGCAAACGTACCAAATGTTACATGGAACTTCCTGGATATGACGAGGAAGTTGGACTTGGGCGGTGGAGGCACAGCATACTACGTCTATGATATATCTGGCGTGCGTGTTCGGAAAGTCATTGAGAGGTCTCCTAGTCTGGTTCAAGAACGGCTATATCTTCGACCAATGTTAGAAATTTTCCGCCTGTTCACGCCCGTTCATCAATACGAGCGGTTTACCAATCGGGCGCTACGATTGGTCAATCGGCCTTCCGATTAATCAATCGTAGCTCCCATTGATCAATAGGAAATGGAATACGATTCGCAAGCCATAGTAGGTCCTGATTAATTAATAAGGGGGCCGATTGATTAATCGAATGGCCGATTGATCAATCGTATAATATTGGGGTTTCGGGGCTAAAGAGACTGAAACCCTTTAGTTCTCAGTATATAATAATATATCCTTAAGACTAATGGCTGAAACCCTTTAGTTCTTAGTATGTAATAATATATCCTTAAGACTAATGGCTGAAACCCTTTAGTTCTTAGTATGTAATAGGGGTAAAAACACTTCTCTACAGCTTCTAGATATATATAGGGCCTCTGCTCCCTTTTTACTACCTAGACACAGTTCACAGTATATAGTTTATAGTATAAGTACCTACTTTCCAAGTACAATTACTGATTCTATATACCTCCCAATTAATTACCTTATTTCCAATATGTCTCTTTTAACCCTTTATTTATCTCCAGCCTTATATATACCTCGTCAATGTATCTATGGCCGAGTAGAGCAATATTTTGATATTACTGCACTAGGAGTACGTTCCTCTGGTACTCAGTTTTTGCCCTCCCCTATTACTAAAGACCCTACTAATAATTGGTCTGCTAAAGACAAAGCTATATGGGATCAAAGGCTTGCTAAGGGCGGTAGTAGGAAAATTCTTACTACTAGGAAGCGTATAGATATTAGATAGTAGTTGCAAAATTCTGATGTTTTACTCCCTAGTAGAACAAAAGTAGAGAAGTGCTACCAGGCTAATATTAAGTATAAATCCCAATTATACGAGCTTCAGGATAATCAGGTATATCGTAAGAAATACTACGATACCCGCTGTAATGAGATTATTCCAGTCCGGTATACCCTTTGCTATAACGATGCCTTTGAGGTTTTGACTACTATTTATAAGAAATTAATGCATATAGGTAAGTACCCCTTGAATTTACTAATTTTTATACTAATAACCTATATAATAGCCTTTAATACTATATTTGAGTATATAAGATGTATTTGGTATGGCCTATCCCGTAATGACTACGCTTGGATAAGTGCCCGCTATACTTACTATAATAAGAAAAAGGCTTAGAAGAATCCTAAGGGGATTACACCTATCCAATCTCATTATTCTGGCGAGTATATGGTTCTGGATTTAATAGATTTTCGTATAAGTATCCCTTAAGTTATGTAATTTACCCCTATATTCCTGTATTTCCTGCATTTCATATATTTCGTATGTTTTTAAGCTTTTCCTATGATTTTTGCAATTCCTACGATTTTTGTAATTCCTATGATTTTCGCAATTCCTACGATTTTCGCAATTCCTGCAATTTTCGTAAATTCCGAACCTTTTTATTCACACTTCATTAATACTATAGTATTACTATTATTAATACTATTATAGTATAATCGGGACGGAGAATATACGTGGATCTGGTAATTGAAATACCACTTTTCCAAGTTCGTATGGATCCGTAGGCTTAAGGCTAAGACTGCGGACGAAGCTGCGGACGAGCTTATTAAATGGCTAAATAATAATAGATATATTTCCATTTTAGCCTGTAATAATAGGGGTGAGTTTAAGGGGAAAGTAATTGAGATTTGCAAGAAGAGAGAGATAAAGATTATTTGCGGACGAGCTTATTATCCTCAATCTCAGGGCTCTATTAAAGTGGCTAATCGAATCTTCAAAAAACGACTACGGGCCGTACGAGCAGATACTAGTATCTAATCGTGGATATAGTTACTTCCTTTAATCGCATGGGTAATTAATACTATAGCTATACCAGCTCTTCCTAAGGGAAATATACTATATAAGGTCTGGTTTGGACGAAAGCCACCTACTGATTTCCTAGACCATAAGGAGAGTGCTTGCCGTATATATACGGCCCTAGGGGCTATAGGGCCTATAGAAGGTACTACTGAGAGTAGCGCTTCTGGAGAGGATAGAGAGGATAGAGAGAATGAAGAGAATAGAGAGGATGGAGAAGATAGAGAGGATAGCTTTTTCGTAGATAAGGAAGCAGAATAGGAGAAAGTAGCTAAGGAGATGATTTTATCTGAACTAACTAGGAGGGTTGCGGAGTATATGAGAAAACAGAAGGAGAATATAGTAAAGAGAGCGAATTCCAAAGCTCTTGAATATGATATTTAAGAGATTATAATCCTCCAGATCCCAAAGTAATACAGATTCGGTACGGAAATGGCTAGAATTCCGGTAAGAGTTCTGGAAAAGACTCCAAAGGTATGTGGTTTATAAGCCTTACTTTTAATAAAAGCTAATTAAAATAGGGCTACCGCTTAGCTACTAAGTATAGCGAGCTTACTACTCTCTGGCCGCATAGTGCCCTTAATAAAATCACCTCCTAATTAACTTATCCTGATTTACCTATTACTGGTGCAACCTATAAGAGGGATAAAATCACCCTCCCTAAAGCGGTAGTAAAGGAGAATAATCGTAGTTCAATTGTATTAGTTCAGAAGGCCGATTGACCAATCGTAGCGCCCGATTGGTAAACCGCTCGTATTGACGAACGGGCGTGAACACGCCGACACCAGTCTGGACAGGTGAAACTGGAGAGGGAGTCACTGCACGTCTTGGATGACCAGAACCGTGCCGCGATAGTCGAAACTCGTACCATTGATGTCGATGGTAGCGACAAAGCCCCGGAGCAAGTTCAGCGTTACCAGTTATCGAGTCATCTGAAGTCGGCGACCGTTGAGGTTGACAAGGACGCCAAGATCTTGACGTACGAAGAGTACTCACCTTATGGTAGCACCACTTACGTCGGTACTCTATCTACTCTCGATCTTCCCAAGCGCTACCGTTTCACTGGTAAGGAGCGGGATCACGAATCCGGGCTGTCGTATCATGGCGCTCGTTATTACGCCCCGTGGCTCGCTCGCTGGACGAGTGGTGACCCAGGAGGGCTTGTAGACGGCGTTAATTTGTACGCCTATGCCAGATTAAACCCAATTAGCTATATTGATCCCGGGGGTAAAGCAAGCGAGAGGCCGAAATTGGTAATTCCCGATGTTAAGCTCACATACCCAACCATGGCGGGTCCAAAACCGATGAAGCCCAACTTGGGTCCAACGCAGCAGCTCCAGCTTAAACCCTTGGAGCCATCGAAAAAAGCGGAAGCCGACCCTAGGTACCAACTTATAATGCCCAGCCTAGGGCCATCTGGAATCCAGCTCAAGCCATTTTTTGTGTACACGTTAAAGGGCGATAAACCTCAGCCGGAACCCGGGCCGCAACCCGATCTCAGCTACCATATTCAACCCCCGGAGAGAAATGATGGCCACAAGCAGGAAAGTACCTTTGGTTTCGACCCTAATCCACCCCAGAGCTCACAGCCAGCGAAGGCCGCGAAGACAGGAGAGCCCGAAGAGCAAAACAACCCCTTGCACCCCGAAGGGAAGTTATACGAAAATAAAGCGTCCAAAGGAGTATCAGGGGTCTCCGTGGCAGCAAACACTGACCCAGGCGTCGAAGCAAAAGTCTCCATCCGCGACACAGTCGACATACAAGCCAAGGCCAGCTACCCCAAACAACAAGGCACGTTCAACCTCACCTTCACGGTGCGACTCGGCGACGATCTCTCCACGAATGGCACCAAGCTTGACCGGGAAAGGGGGGAGGCTACCTTGTCACAGGAGGGCAGCAAGTTCCTCAATAACCCGAAGGACTTCGGGCAGGCGCAGAAGGCCGTGGACGCCGTAAGCAAGCTGATCGATGCGCAGCGTGACACGAACCACTCGCCCGTCGAGATACAGGCGGGGTTCACCTATGCACGGCAACCGGATTCATGGGCGCCAGATACGAACGTTGAGCGGGGAGTGGCCCAGACCCATGACTTGTCTGATTTCCTAGGGTCGGGCGTTTTTGTAGGCGTGGGGTTCTGGTTTTAAAGTGAGGGCTGGTAGATCGATATGGCAAGTACAATAATACGAGAGCTGGTTGATAAATAAAGTGCTTACAATCAGATAGGGTCAAACAAAAATGATTTGTTTTGAAGTTGATTTATAGTAGCTAGGTCTGAAGAGTACATTCTCAAGGGTTGTAACCTTAAGCGAGAGAAAGGAAGCGAGATCACCTGACGGCAATAAACAATAGTGAGATCAATATCATCTGCTAGGTTCTGCCTCTTTTCTATTCACGACAAGAAAATTACGGTCCCAAAAGCGCGCTAGGAAGGGCGGAGATAAGGTATTGTTTACCTGGCCAAGGGGCACGTCTTGCTTAAAGCGTACTTTCGTACTATACGTGCAAATCCGATTGTTTTTCCCGGTGCCTACAGTAGCCAATCTTTAATATAATTAAGTAAAAGCCGCATATCAAAATCACTACTAGCTTTTGTCCTTTCGGAATCTAAAGTCCTTTTATTTTTACGATTACTCCTGCTTAGAATTATGGCTACGCAATGAGGGCGTAAGTTAGAGGGGTGCAGCGCCCGCTACAGGGCTCGCTTAGCACCCTGAAGCCCCTGCCTTCGGGCGCTGTCCGCCAGCGCAATGTGCGCGCGCGAAAGCAGCAATTTTGGCCGCCCCCACAGGCCGTTTTGACTGATTTTGGTTCTAGAATCGCGAAACCGCGTGCGCGCTTTCAGAGTGTAAAATTTTTAGGCCCGTACGATATTTTTTGGGGTGGGCAGGGCGCGGAGGGGGGGGGAATTGCGCGGGCGGCCGGTTTGGTGAGGGAGCGGGGGGGTGGGGGGCGGGCCTCGCTTAGGGAATTGTAGTAAAAGCAGGTTAAGACTCAAAAAATTAGGCTTGAAGGAATGGAATCAAAAACGGCCAAAAAAAAAATTATCGACGCCGAAGAGATTCGAACTCTTCTGTTTACTATTAACAATGACCGGGTACGTTTGGACAGTGAAGACTTACGCTCTATAATTTTGTTAGTGACGAAACACAATGCAGAGTGACACCACATACCCCGAAGGAAATGCCTGAAACTGCTTGATCAATGATCTTAGCAGGGCATCCTGGATAAGTGTTAGTTACAAACTATTTGCAAGTTTTGGACGGCACATACGCGTTAACCACTCCGCCACAGCGCCTCGCTTAAATGTTGGAGAAAATCTCCTTATTTAGTTACATATAGTACCTAATTATAAATTAAAATATCAGCCAATCAAAACGCGCACTCCTGGCCCCGCCTCGTCAAGGTCCGCATCGAACATCCCAGCTTGCTCAGCTTATCTAAACGCATATCCATCTTCACGTACTTCCCCTCTTATTTATCTCTTAAATATATAACCCCTACTGCATCGGCGAATTTGTGTTGCTCGGCTTGGGATTGGTCGTCCACACGTCATTCAAGCGAGTAATGTCATGGGACTTTCAGATATAAATAGTTTCACACCAACTTCCCCTCATCTCGCACTTCCACCGACTCTGGTACCTTCCAACTTCTACGACTCGAAATGCTGTGGAGAACCATAACCACTCCGTTCTTCACCATCATTGCTCTCCAAGTTGCAGTAGGGCCTCAATCAGCCGCTGCCGCTGAGGCCGAAAACCCTGTCCAATATTCGCTGCACGAGCATCCAATTACCTGTGAAGCGCCTCTTCTCCCTCATAATGCAGACCTCGAGAAGTTCGTCCCAGGATTCTACGGCGTCTACCTTGTTCCTGGCCATACCCTCCAGCAGCATTTCGAGGCCGTCAAAACGGACCTGACTCCTCATATCTACAACGTCTTTGATAGGCTTTATCCGGATCGCGTTGTCTACGGTTGCCAGAACGTGGATGACGAGTTGTTAGCTGTGATTCGGTCGGATTCTGGTGTTGAAGCCGTGTGGCGCGACAGCAAGGTTGAAATAGAGTAGGTTGGTTGAGGGGAAGGAGGGGGAGGATCGTAGGAGTTCGTATGCCCCTCACCTTCTGGCTGAGCATCAGCTTGCCATCGCCAATTGCTGCTTTGCAATTCCTGATATTCTGCGTCTTTTCGCCACGTCTCAACACCGTCGCCGTCCACCAATGTCGGTGCTCTTTCCTTTGTGTTTTCAGCGCCTACAAACTCTCTTGGTCCCTGTCGACCACATCGTGATACCCCCCTCTTTGAGCGCGTTCGCCAAGCACGGCTATCGGCTTGTGCGCCTCGAAGTCGCCTAAAAGGGTCGAGTATCTAGAAGCTGCGGTTTGGGGGGAAGTTGGGGGGTGGCAGATCATTTCAATCCAAGATACCTTCAGACTCAGGATTAATTTTCCCTTTCACTGGTTCGGTTTTAGTCTGCGGACGTGGGCAAATACTGCTTTAACCTGAGCTGATGGTGAGCATGCCGGAGCAGCGTCTGAGCATGCCTATATACTTTGCCTTAAGAAATAATCGTTATACTACAATATTAATACAATTGAGCATGTCCTAAGCGTGCAACGACGCTGTCCATACAACCAATGGCTCCGTTGTATGTTACGCGCACACATGTACCAACAAGGGCTACCCAGATATCAAACTGCAGATTGCTGAAATACCAGATATAACGCCCTCAGCGATATCTGGGAGGGGGATAGCGCCTAGCGCGCTCTGGATAGAGCCGATGAAACTACTGCAATCAAAGCCTGATGGTTCTTCTGCGGAGCCCGATAAGCTCATCTGGGCCTTTACGTCCGAACTTGCGTCAAACAAAGTGACTTGTATAAAATTGGCAAGGGTACAGGTAACACTATTAAATAGATCAGCCAATAGGCTCTTTTTTAAATCGGAGATTCCGAATACTTACAATGAGACATCCGAGCAACTGAGAGCAATGGGAGCATCCTCACGCTTCGATGGATTTGATGGATGGGGGGTGTTGGCGCACTCTTCTCCATGAACTGTTGTGCACTGCTTTGACTGAAGCATCGCGGTATTGACGGCGTTCAAAAGTAGTTGTAACACATTGTTGTCGCCGTCGATAGTGCCGCTCATTTTAATAGTGGCAGTTCCGTCAGCGGTGGAGCCACCGCTCACAGTCACGAACGTGAAGCTCTGAGGGGATCCAGAGTCGCAACCTGTAGCGGAACAAACTGGTTGTATAAACTTCGATAGAAAAGTGCTAGCGTCTTGGTCTCCAATGTCAAACTGTGGGCCTGTGAGCGAAAGGATATTCATAAAAGAATTAGACAGAGATATCAGGACCAGCTTACCGAATTGCTTCCCAACTCAACTTGTAGGTGTAATGTTGAATTGTCTCTCTCGATAATACTCGTCGAAACAGGGCCGTCGTATGGCAGAGCGACGGATAAGGTGATAAGAGAGGCCAGCAATGCGTTCTTGAAGAGTGCCATGATGTTATTCGTTGATGTTTCTTTGTTCGGTGTAAGACTCGAGAGATTAGGAAATGCTCAGGTTGGTTTGGAGATGTTAAGTCGAGTAGCCTTGTAGAACCTGTTGTGATTCTAATCGAGGGCGGTCCAAATTATTTATACCTTTGATAAGGCTCATTTTTATTCGGCTCTCTTCTTGGTTAGTAATTTCCCGCATGTCCTGAAGTTCTTTGTGGCTATGTGTCAGCTGGAGTTATACTTAAAATAGCGGCAACGCCGAGACATCAGTCCGAAAATAGACTTAATTAAAGATAATAGGGGTGCAAATGCTTTTGCATACACATTGCAAATCTGACAGCAAGGACCATCTCATTCCCCTCGGAGTGTGTATTAAAAACGTAGCTAAATAAACTTGAAGATGGGCTTATGTCAGATTCCCTGAAACGAAGCGAAACGCCCATGCCCTGAAACAGTACCCACAATGCCTTCAAAATTCACGCTAGCTTCAGCCGCGGTGGGCCCGGTTGCCGCGTCCACCAGCAAAACGCTGTGAAGCATCGCCAATAAGAAGGGTTTGCTTTATTGCAAACGTATGTGTACGATTTCTGAGTGTTATCCTGTTTAAGGGCCTCGGTGTACGCAGTTTGTGTTACTAGTATATATATAATATTCGGCTTGTTAAAACAGGGCATGACTACTGTCAATAGGCACTAGCAATGTGGGAGGAGGGTAGCTATTTGGGCTGTACGTGAGGTACCAAGGCAGGGTGTAAAGTAGTTGTATTGCTGCGGATTAAGGAGTGAATACTACGAGCTCTTCTCTCCTTATATATTACCCAAAAACCCCTACGGAGTGTACTGATATCAGTGCCGTAGTATGACGTAGTTAACCCTTAGGCTTAACTGGATGTTACGAATACTCGGGTATCACATGACCGGAGCATATATCCCTCGGTCATGTGACCTTCTGTCGGCGCTCTCTTTCAGTACAGTTGAATTGAGGCAGTGCAAAATCACAAATGAATTAAGTGTTACTAGAGCTGCTCAAGCAACCCAGAAAGCCCCCGGCCTAGATAGGATAAACATCCGGGCCGTCCGACTTCCGTCATGGCATGAAGGTTGGACTGCGACCCTGGCAAGGCAATGTGTTCGTTCGGCTCGGCTGGTGATACATCTGCATACCCAGGAGGCCACCCGAGAGATTTTGATTCAAAAACCGGGCCAACCATCTTCAGAATATAGCCTTGTCAAAGCTTAACGAGCTATCGGCTTGCCGAACTACTAAAACATCAAGGTGTTCAGACCTATTCAATTGTGGGCACCAGATTCCTGGGAATACGCAACGTTTCCTGTCATAGGAGCACACCGTAACAGTACTGATTTTCTCTGATAATATTGCGAATTCTATATTCTAGAGTCTGAGATATTAAGCAGATGGGCGCATCACTTTCACTGCGGCTATCTTTTAAGTTTCACAGGATAGTGCACTTAGATCACCCCTTTCGAACGCTGCGTGGATGTATTCTCATGAGCAGCCATCCTCCCTCATCTTCAGAATCATCGCATCCTCTTTCAGCGTCCATCAAACACTCTTTATCCAAGGCCGCAAAGGATTCCGCAACGACTCCTTTGACCTTGTGCAAACATAATACGGCTGATACCTCTCCGAGCCGTGTGCGGGTATGCTCTACCGTAATAATACCCGAAAATATGTATCATAGCGGCGTTCAAATCGATATTTCTTAATTAAGCATATCCGGATACCTTCCCAGGCCTTAATGATCCTGGATTTGACAATCCGCGAACTGTTTCTTGAGTCCTGACAATTCCTTCCTCGACAGCCTGCACCGTAGTGGGTTTGAGCCTTGATATTCTGCAACATCTTCGAATAAGCCTCTCGATTCTTCGCGCACAGATAACTTGCGACGTCTTACCTCGGGTTCTGCTCCCCTTAATCTCTTCCGAGCATGGGGATAGCTTGCAACTGAATACCTTTGTGGCTTAGGGGAATACAAGGTCAAGCTATGAAAATAATTGAATTTTCTTTCAATGTGGCAGTCTTTGCTCGTTGCAAAACACGAGGAAAAAAGCTTTAGAGCCCAAGATTTTCTAGGCGTTACTCGGGTTCCCGGAACAACCACCTGGGAAAATGGGAAAAACTAAAACGACCCCCCCCCCCGGGTGTCGATTAGGGGTGTCGATTGGGGCAGGGGTGTTTAATTGGCTACCTGAGCTCTTTAAAATTCTGAAATTAGATTTTTCAATATAAGTGTAAGCTAGTATATTATAACCTAACCCTTGTATTATAATCACGTGCTTTCTAACTTATAATAAAAAGATTCCTTAAAACAGTACTTTAATTTTAGGGAGTTTATATACTAATTAATTAAGTTTTAGTTTTTGAGACCTATAAGGCCCTATAAATTATGGGCTTATAGGGCTCTCATATCTGGTTTTAGGGACTTTTTCGCTAAATTTCTAGGCTTTCTTAAGCTTACCTTCAGGTTATAAAATATAAAACTTTTAACTTCTTCAATTTAAAGAGTTATTACTAATCCAAATTTTATAGAAAGTTCGTATTTAAATAGCGCATAATTAGCGCTATAAGGAAATAAAACAAGTATTAAATTATATTAATTCATTATAAAATTAAATTAAAAAAAAGAAAAAGCCAGAGTTTTCACCACAAGCATGCACGCTTAGTCAGCCCTAACTCTCCTTAGCCAAGGTCGCTACATAAGGACCTGGCCCAATAAAGGTTTGAATTCTGGGTAACGACCATACCCTCTTCTTTACTAAATCACAGTAAAGAAATATTATTAATTAAGAAAATAAGAAGGGCAATTAATCGGCCGAAAAATTAGGGCAGTTAATCGGCCGAAAGGTTAGGGCAGTTAATTGGCCGAAAGCGCTTTACTAAGTCACAGTAAAGAAGAGCTAAGGGCAGTTAATCGGCCGAAAGATTAAGGGTAGTTAATCGGCCGAAAAATTAGGGGGCAGTTAATTGGGCCGAAGAATTAGGCAGTTAATCGGCCGAAGAATTAGGCAGTTAATCGGCCGAAAAATTAGGGGCAGTTAATTGGCCAAAGAATTAGGCAGTTAATTGGCCGAAGAATTAGAGCAGTTAATCGGCCGAAAGATTAGGGTAGTTAATTGGCCAAAAGATTAAGTTGGCCGAAAGCGCTTTACTAAGTCATAGTAAAGAAGAGCTAAGGGCAGTTAATTGGCCGAAAGCGCTTTACTAAGTTATAGTAAAAGGTAATTAATTAGCTAAAAAAAAAATAAGGATAATTAAATAATTAAAAGAACTTTAAATATATAATAATAAGAAAAATATATTAAATCTTTAAAATAAAAAGAATTAAAATAAATAATAAATAATAATTTAAAAATATTTATATAAAATAAATAATTCTTTTTAATAATTAATATATTTTTTATTATTTGAAATTAAAATAATTAAAAGAAGAAAAGAAGAAAAATATATTAAATAAAACTAAGGTTAAAAGATATTTTTTATTTTCTGAAATTATAATTTTCCTTTTTAGTATTTTAAGTTTCTTCTTCCAAATCTCCCATAAACTTTGCTTGTACCTCTAAGTCTATCTCGTTATTACTCTCGTCCCTAACTATATTATCTCCTTTTAGTTCCAGCGACTCTTTAATAGAAGCTCTAGCCCGGCCTATTACCAGATTATATATAGGAATTAGGTCTGCGAAATAGTCTTTTGTCTTATTTCTCGGCAAATATTGTAATATAAGCTAAGGCTCACAAAAAGATAGTAATGCCTCAAGAGCATTTGCTATATATTCTAACTAAGTTAGTAAGCTTCTCTTTATTATAAGATTATATACATACGTAAGAGGCTACTGCGAAGCTCCTGGTGTAACAAATCGATATGACATCCCAACGTATTTTCAGCCGTTAGAATTGTTTCTATAAGGAGAGTTTTGATATGATCCTGAGCCCAAGTAGTAGTATCATTCCGCTACAGAATATCGAGAGCCTCAAGTCGATCCCTTGTCTATCGCACTAAGCGGTACCATTCATGCTTCAAAAATTCTTGTTCCTCTTTCGCCCTTTCGTTACGAAAGTACGCATTAATGCCTTTCAAGATTACGAGATTATCCAGGAACGCATGTAACGGTACGCTTTCTAGCTTCTGTTCTAGTCCTAGGCCATGCGCCTGTGCCTTTTCGTAGTTCCAGAATCGAGATTGTGATTCTTCCTCGAGGTTCTCCGGGTGAAAGGTCTGAAGCGTAAATGTTTGGGGCCTGGAATCTCCGGCTGGTAGCTGGCTCATTAAAGCCTGGATTTTTTTCAGCCGCCTCTCTTATTGTGGAAAGGTCCTTTGAAGTTGTCTCCGAAGGAGTGCGGCCGCCTTTGTCCCTCTAGTATCGTTTTTCCGTGTAATATTGCGATACTGGTATACTTGGGCAGTAGCTTGCCTATGAAAGTGTTGGACTTCCTCCTCAATACAATGCCAGGTATATGACTTCGCATATTCCTTGCGAAGCTCCCTACTAACAGGCCAGTCACCTCTGTTTTGATTATGTTTTTCTAACTCCTGGTTACAATAATTAACGGCTTGATCTCTGATCTGACAGAATGACATTAATCCGTCTTTGTGCCATGTAGCTAGGGAATCCCCCCTTCCCTGGCGTTTCTTAACGGCAATAATGACCTCATTAATAGATCCAGGATCCTCTTTCTCCCGCAACTGGAATTTCCGTTCCAGAGCTTCTTCATGCATTAATAGTCGATGCAAATACTCAAAAGGTCGATCGATCTCCGACTATTTCTTCCCCTTAGCCTTCTTCCTAAACCATTCTAATTGCTCTTCGGCATATTTCTTTAGCTCCAACCCAATATCATTGGTGCCAGACATCTTCCCTATTAATATAAGGTAGTCCTTGACTTCACTGAATGTCACCTTGGCTTTACCGGCAACCTTAAGTGCACGCTCATACTTTTTATTGAGAACCTTTCCAAGCTATTGCCGCTGAAGTTGTCCGCGGTAGAGCGTCTGCTCGTGTAATAGCATCTCACGGTATAATGTATTACAGATGCGAGTTAGAATAACTAAGTGAGACTTGAAAGACCAGTCCCTCTCAACCCCTTCGCTATCTGACAGTGCTGCTAACTGTACGCGAAGCGGGGACCACTTTAACTAGTAACCAAGAGCATGCGCATATGCATGAAAGGCATTTATATAACACCGTACTCGTTCGGATAATGTAGGGTATTTGTAACGGAGATGAGGGCCGAATTTGCAAGCAATATTATACTATAGAATCAAGTGAGTATCTGCTAGAAGGCGGTCCAAGAGCGACTCTGTAATATGAATACCATAAAAGAACTTTTCCCCACGGTATAAGTTCAATAGTGAGATTGTCATGTTATGGCGGCAGTAATAATTTATGAGGCCAGTTTGGTCAAGTTTCTTGAAGCTTTTTAGGGTCCCTTTATTCTCTTCGGCCGCGTGGAAGTAATGTGGACAGCCGTCGTTATTATGCTGACCACTTGAGGTAATCTCTTCTGCAACTCCGTTTTTCAAGGCAGTGGAAGATTGGCTAGACATTCCCCCATAACTACCATGATTGAGATGAATACTACGCTCTGTCGGACTTGTTTGCACCGGAGACGATTCGTAACTAGACACTGTTTGAATGTCTTGGCGAACTTCACTTCGGGCTTGGTATTCCTTGGTTATTAGGATCGTATCTGGATCGACTGGATCCGAAATGAATAGTTTGCAGACTGGTGGTTATTTAAGGAGAAGCTCCCTTCCTTCTCGAAATTTTCTCCTTTTCAGCTGGAAATTTGCGTCTAGACCTCCAATAATTGGTCGATTGGGTCCATAGTTATCGGAGTTCCGATAAAAACAAGGAGGACATAGTTCGCTCAAGGCTTCCTTTGGCTTCCATGAGGGTACAATGTTACGAGCATGTTAATTGAATACTTCTTAACACTTCTCCCTGGATTTTAGCTAGTTAAAGTATACTGCTTGCCAAGGTTTCTGAAAATCTGGAAGTCGCTCGTGATATATCCGAACAAGTAAACGATAAAGAGCATGTGCCCAGGCAAATTTCGAAATCCTGCCTATCATAATAATATTATGAAAGAACTCTAAAGTTATGAACTCGAATGCGAGGGTTGGATTTTGAGGAGCTAAATAGAATTAATTATTTGAATATAAAAGAGGAAGAAAATGCTAACCTGTCGGGAAAAAGCCGTCTGAAATAATACTAGTTACTAGTGAGCCAGTGCACTGACATGACTCGATAGTTTGTTATCGAATACCTTTATGTATACGTTAATTATTGCTTTAAAAAAATCACAAAAATATACTTACTTGAAAACCTAATATATAGAATATTTATTAATAATCGAGTATATCTGGGCGAGGAACAAGTTATTAGTAACCCGGAGAATATAGTATACCCAAGTAAAGGGTTAACCTCCTCCCACAATCTACTACTAGCCTCTCGGTTATCCAGATTAATCCGAGTTCTCTTCTGATCCTTGCTTGCGCTTGCTTCTTGCGTCGTGTAATAAACCATTGTATTATCGGATTCGTATTTATTATTACCAAATCCATTGACTTGATTATAGTCCTCCTCTCCCCATAATTGAGTCTCGGAATCTTCCATATCTATATTATTCTCCCTAATAAATGGTTGGTCGTTTGCGCGTTTAAAGGCTTTTCTATATGCCATTAACGTTGGGTCAGGGGGTGGCTTCATGATTTTCCGTCGCGAGACTCGGCCATTAGCTCTACGACTGCCAATTTCTGTGTATCTGTTGAGGTGCCGGGTCGGCTTCACTCGTGCCATATTGTTAATGAGGTAAAAAGCCGTGGTGCCAATTGCTCGTGGAGTTTGGGGAAAACTGAAGCATGAAACGTGAGGTAGCTACCCCACATCACGTGTAGCGTAAAAGCTATACTAAAAATAGAACTGCAGTTTCTATCTCTCAGGTTTCAGATAGTCCCACTCTCATAAGCACCCTCATATGCCCTTTGACGGAGTCTGCTCTCTGAACTAATTCTGCCTTTACGCTTTTATACCGCAAATTTCCCAATGCCTCTAAAGAAACGACACCCTACTATCGGACGTGGTCTGGGCGAACTGTACTAACGTGACCCTGAAGCTCCCTCAGATAAGCGATCGCTAGACCGTCGTATCAAAGCTCTGGGCGTTGTTAGCCAAGGACACAAGGTAAATAAAGGGAAAGGAATCAAGGAGGCACGGTACGGCAATGGCACTACATTGGCGTTTTTGGTCCCTATCGAAGATGTTTCGCGCAGCATTGATTAAGTCAAGCGGGAGAAAAGGCGGTTGAAGGCGTTGGCAAGTGACGAAGAAGCAGAACAGGCCGATCCACAGGCCGACGAGCTAGTTGAGATAATGGCCAAGCAAACGAACCAGACACCTCGTATTAGCAAGACGCAGCTAAGCCGGCAATGAAGCAGTGGAGATGATGATCAACCCCACGACCGTCCCCACAAGAAGGCGCGCACCCAGTTAACAGGTGCTAGCCAGAAACGCTACCCTAATGATCGATGTGGTAATAATTAACCCAATAATAATGACCAAAGTAATATTGATTAGAGTAATGGTGAAAACGAGGAAGCCGATAATGCTCTCACTGGTAGCAAGGGCTGGGTGGGAATATTCTATCACCGTTTGAGTGCGAAACAATTACTCAAGTTGGACGCCGAAGACTTCTGCCTTCCAGATGACAAGCCCCTGCAAAAGCTTGGTGGCATATCTCTTCTAAGGCTCATGCAGTAACAGAATAATATCCAGTTTGACGAGCAGTAAAGGAGGTTCATTCGCACCTTTTAATACAAGAATGGAATTATAAACTTTTATAACTTTTCTGGCAACCTGGAGGCGTGGCATCGACTACTTAACGACCTCGGATTTCGAAATCCTCTCTTAACTAATGAGGTCTAGTACTAATTATCTAATTATACCAAGAAATATATGCATAATTCGCGGGCCGTTTATATTAAGGATGGTGCAATAACATGTGTTCCGCTTATAGATACGAGGCCAGGTAACCTGATAAAGGAGACGGTTATATTTGCACCCTGGTACTCGGAATAGGCAAATCCGTATAACGGCAATACTAGAAAATGTCCTGGCTCCGCCTCTACTAAATCGTATTGCAAGGTTATGTTGGAAATCACTGCTTGGGTAGATGACTACTCAAATGAAGAGAGGTATAATATCTTGCAAGCCATTCTCGACCATGCTCCGGAGTTTAAACTAATTACGGTCACTACCGAGAGCGCCCGCGAGAAACAAGCTGAGCACCCCAAGCTCTCAATCGGTATTGCATCCTTTCTCTCCTTCTTTGCGGCTACTAACCGTTTTCTAGAGCTATGCAAAACCCCCGCAGCCCTTCTTCCTAATATATCCCTAATACCGATTGCGAGTACACTATCCCGAATCAAGCTATTATCTCTAATACTTTCTTTAGTAAAGGAAGTTGCACTACCAGAGAATATTCAGAGAGCTGCTAATAGTAGCGCGAGATCAGGAGAACGCGACTTTGCCTACGAACCGGCTAATCCTATTAACTACTATAACCTTATGACTCAAGAAAATGAGGCTGTATTATTGGAAGATACACGTATATACCGAGCGGGATTGAGTGCGCCTCGGTGGGAAGAGATCGACGGGCATAATGATCTTATATAACTGTGCCATTAGAGCAAGATCCGACCGTTATTACCTATTAGAGTCATGCCATAACGAGAAGGCAAGAAATTATTTACAAGTTCCATAAAGCCTTCCCTGGATTAATGTTGGCAATATGTAAATATATCCTTCTTGTTTCTATGGGAGATACTAAATGGGCATATGATTTTGCCCTGGGTCGCGGCCTCAAACCTTCTATAACGAAAGCATAGTTAGCGGAGATTATACCTATAGCCAAACCATTCAAGGATAACGCTAAGTGATTACTAGCAGCCCCGAACCATGCTTCCGTATTATAGTCTCCCCTAGCACGCCTTTCGAAAGGTACAGATACCCTTAATAATATTAGTAATGCTCCGCGGGAGGAGGCGGGCGCTCTGGGCAAAGACCAGGGCTTAATTAATAGCACTGCGGGCATATCTGTGGCTAGTCAGATTCGTGCCAAAGTACTAGCCAGTCGGCATTATTAGAAAACCGGTTTTCAGGATAGTAAGGACAATGTTTCTAGGAAACAGAGTATGAGCCGGGGAGGATCCAGAATCAAGTCTATAAAAGAAGCTAATAAGACATACCGCAGACCAGGCAAGTTAATTATATCTCCGATTTATTTGTTTGTATTAGCGAGTATAAGCTAATCCATAAAGAATTTTATAGGAACTCGATAACGTCCCACTTCCCTCTTTTCTTTATCTTCTGGGGCTGGCCTTAGCCTGTTTATCTCGGATAATAATAAAGATTTTGATTTGAATTAATCGCAAGATACTAGAAGAGATAAGAGTGTATCTACTATAGTATCTCTAATTATAGTTAACTAGCTAATCTTTAGTTATAGTTAACCAGCTCGTAAAGCAAGCCTAGTGTGAGGGGAAGCCAGCTATAGCGAAGGCCAAGAAAGCTAGACCAGGGGCTAAGGTTAAGAAAGGAAAGGGATCTATATAGAAGAATAGCCGCTGAGTTGAATTGTGCTAGTTCCTTGCTTTCTGTTCTTATTATACTAATAAACTGGAACTCGGTTATTATTAAGCCCCACACCCTAGGATAGTTACCTGGATATTCTATCTAATAATAGTTTCCTAATTTTATAAGGTATTACATATTCATTTAATAGTAATAGATCAATAATTAAATTATATATTTAGAACCGATTAAGGGTAAGGACCATCTGGTTACTATAGATTCTGCACTACTTTATAATAGGCATTTCGCTAGACCCCTATTTGATTTCCACCGCGCCGCGAGAATACGTTACTACGTCACGCTTGCTCATCACGTCCGATTTATTTTAAGTACCCCTTGGAAATCTTTTATAAGTCTCTTCCAAATACGACACAAAAATCCAAACTTATACGGTCCAGAATCTTCGACTTACCTCAAGTCTAAGTACCAAAATCTACTATAGTACCCACTTGTAATATCCGACTTCCGAAAGGGACACGCCTCCCTTTCCCGCCATAATACTAGTCTTTAAGCTACCGAGAGGTCATTAGCCAGTATCCGTTACCTTTGCTCGCGACTACTTGCCCTCTTCTTTTAAGAATAATGGCCTCTTTAGCCAATATTCTACTCTCGGTCAGCCAGCTTACCCAAATGCCAAACATATCTATAGCCTGTGGTTCTGAGGGTAATATATTCGGTGGCCAAGGTCTCAAGCTCGCGGCCGAGCAAAAACGCACCGATATACAGGTAAGAACTTCATCGCTACTCATACGTTACTACTAATTACTAACAAGGGTAATAAGGAGGGGCTTATTCACGTAAAGCTGGATATCTTTATTAATGTGAATACAAATAGCTTATCCTTCCGTCTCTATTCCCTAGCCGGCCAGTATTAAGCACTAGTTCCTGCCGTCGAATGAGACATAGTACAATACTCGGAATTTAATTTATACTATCCCGTAACTCTAAGTATTAGAACACTGCCTAGCCACTATATCCGGTTTCACCCAGAGAAGAGTTCTATCTATATGGACCTAAAGACATTATATACTCTCCACCTCCTATTAAAGCGGGATCTAACTATACGCGGCTTTAAAGAAATTCGTTAACTCACTATATTACCGATTAACCTCGCTACCAAGTCGGGCCAGCTTACAATTTGGGGTTTAAATAACTATTTAATCAGACCAGAGGGACCACTCAAAAGTGTATATACTTTAATAGAGAAGAAGGGCATTCCGAGTATAGTTAAGATAGTTAAGGAGGTGTATAATTAGTTAGAGGGACTATAAATAGACAAATCCGAGTTAGAGAAGTTCTTTGGGCCTGCTTATATAAGGGGTTAACTAATTAAAGGAGATGCCCTATAGTTTGGCCATCTCGTATTACGTCCCTCGAACTACCTAATTGCCCGGCTTTGTTTATTATATGTGAGCCTAGACCAAATACATATCTCCTTCTAGGGTTATATTGCCTTTGAAACACATAACCCTTATTCCGTAGGCTCTTATGACTTTAGTAAAGCTTTTCCTAAAACCCGTATATTTGTATTCAGGAAGCGAGAGTAGTAGTGAATTTGGTACTTCACTAATATCTCAGCTTTGGCTCGATATATATTCTCAAGCTAACCCTGCTTCTTTCATACCCTATTCGTTCTTATTCCCTTTTTAACCTCTTGCTTTGTCCTTCATATTTGCTGTCCGTACTCCTCTGGAAAATATCTCCATCTTCGCTAATACTATTAATGCCAAGACCGCGGTCAAACGCATCCACAAGGCCATCTATCCACTCTAGTTATAAGTGCCCTTACCTTGGATCTCCTATAAAGCATGTTGTTATCTTTAAGCTACCTAACCGTTTTTGATTAGCTTTTGACCAGATATTACCCTTGATCCTTTTGACGAAATCTCCTCACCTTGCATTTCCTTGCCTTTGGCTGCCCTGCAGAGCTCGAGTTCTCCCGAGACTTTAATCATATTCGAATAACTTCTTACAAATCCTCACACGATAATTATTACTCGCCATACCTTCGGTCACCTTTGAAATCTGTTTCCTATAACTAATCTTAGGAAGATTGCAATGGCGCCGATTAAATCACGAGATGCAAAGGAGCAAGGTACGTGGCAAGATGCTATACAGGAACAAGTTGAGGAATAATCTGAGAAATCTGCTGGGGTTTATTAGGTCAAAGGCACTTCCAAACTCTATAAACTCCCACTTGACGTAATCCTATAGCATCTCCGTAATTAAGATTAATTTAAGGTCCAGAATTGGGTGGATGAAGATACTGACATAAAAGAATATGTCTATTCGCTCGAGAATGTCGACTTGACCAAGGAGGTTACCGGGCTCAAGGTTAATAAGATGGGTGGCCTGGCAGAGAGTTATGAGGACGAAGAGGAGAAGGAGCGGTTAAAGGCAGAAGAGGAAGCCCGACTCAGGAAGGAGGATATCTGCAAGTGCAAGGAAAAGGTATGAATCTTCCTATTTGCTATCTCAAAACCCTAAAGCTAATAATACCAAAGTTCAAGTCTATCTTTTGTAAGGCTAAAGAGCAGAGTATAGAGGACGTCCGCTGTCTCGAGGTCTGACTCCCCTAATCCTTTATATACCCTCTTGACTAACCTTGTTTAGGGGGAATTAAAGAACTTGAAGAGGAAGTATACTATTTACAAGGGCGACGAGCTGCAGGAGATTAATAAGGAGGAGTTCTTGGAGAAGAATAAGAAAGCTCGTTTGCTTTTAACTAGCGAACTTGTTATCAAGAATGAGAATACCGAGGAGGCTTAGGAAAAATAACGTAGTTATATTGGAAAGGGTGGGGATGGGCATGAATATATGAAATATTTATTTGGAGGAACGTGTTTTTAATTTGGGAGGAACAGGCAAATATCTTGTATCTCGGGGATCTTGAATTAGCAGAGATTTCTAGTGGGAGGGAATATAAGATGGCTTGCCATATGCAAGGTCGGCGGTAATCAAGGCATAACAAAGCATGCTGAGCTGGTGGACCAGGTTTGCCGGTATTTGCGGCATAGCATGGATAGTAGGATGGGATATCAAGGAAAGAAAGGAAAAGGAAAAGGTATAAGGAATAGCAAAATATATTCCGAATAAGATATTTGATAAATAATTTGATTTTGTGCCTCTTTGCATAATGGGTCTTCCGCTAGCCTCAACTTAGCGGGCATTTTTCAAGCACCTTACCGTAACCATACCGTTAACCTCCCCAGCGCCGCCATAACCTCTCGATTCTCTGTATTAGGATCGAGGAGTCTGCCCTCTATTCCTCTTAGCTCTCGGCGACTGCTTTAACTAATACTTGGTCAATTCTACTATCCCCATATTAACCTCAACCCCTACCAGACGCACCCCCCACACCAGGCTATACGAACCTTCCATTAATTATCTGCCTCTAGCAAATCTCCGAGAGACGGCGTCTTATTTGACCCTCTTGTCGGCAGCAATCACGATTCTCACGAAACCAGCAGGGGATCCTCCTATATCAGGCCGCTAATCCAACACGCCGAGCCCGACGCGTTAATTAGCTCTAGCTATTAGGAGAATCCCTTTAACGCCAATGTAATATTGATACTGAGAACGAAAGTATGGCTAGGCAAAGGACCAGGGAATATAAGAGGGACAAGAAGCGAAGGCAGAGAGAGCGGCAAAATGGGCCACAGTAGGCAAATTAGCTGACCATATATGGAAGTGAGAATGACTGACTATTTATTATAGAAGAACTGCAAAGGCTGCCAGGAAAGATGCCAAGGCCGCTTCAAAGGCCGTAAAGGTAGCTGCTAAGGCTCAGAGAAAGGCCAAGGTTACTGCGAAGGCAGCGGAGCAAAAGCGAATGTCTCGGGCAAATAAGAAGGAAGCCTTGAAGAAAGCCAAGAACCAAGAAATGCGAAGAAAAGCTAAAGAGGCATTCGATGCTATGCAACTGCGATTGTTTGGCCACCCAGCGCGGACAGAGCTAATAATTATGTTACAAGGGGACGGTGGACTTAAGTGGCGAACGCGGACTAATAATATTTACCAAGGAGCACCTGCCACATGTTCCGGTATTAAAAAGACCCTCAGACTTGTTAATGGCAAAGAGCTGCGAGGCGTACTCGAGAGAGATCCCTACCCCGGCATCCTCGTCCTGGTGGACGAAGAGTGGAGCAGCAGCCTTCCCGTAATCGCGATAGAAGATATGATTGAGTATTGCCAGACCGCTGGGACGCGAGAGATTAATATTCAGATACTAGACTTAGCAAAGTCCACGATCGATACTAAAGCTAGAATAGGACAAGAAATCGCTACCTATTTTAATACGTTAGCTGGTCAAATAGTTAATAACCCTTTTAATCTCCTGAATATTACGATTCCATTGATCGGTATCGATCTCTCGCCGCCCGGCTTTTCGACTTACTTTCCCCTCCTTCGCGATTCCTGTAATATACTCAGGGACGGCAAAATTCAGGAAATCCGAAGCAAGCAGGCTACTACCATAGTCCAGAGAAAAACCGGGTTTGAAGATTGTATATAATGGGCTTTATTAAGTCAAGCTGGATGTCTGACTGGATGGCATGTGGATTCGAGCGCTGTAACGACGTGGGTACGTTTGGAAACCGATAGTATATATAGCAAAGGCCAAGAATGGCCATTAATAATCAAGTATTAGGCTATTGTCATGCTCGATCACCTATAACCAGAAGAGAAGAAATCTGCTCTCGAAGAGTTTAGAACCCACGGACTAGATTGGAATCCTGATCCGAGCTGGATCCGCGTAATCTCGTTAGTACCTGGCCAAACCTTAATCATGCCTAGCGCTATAATTCACGCACCGATAATGCTTACTAATTGTTATATGAGAGGTGGGATGGGCTGGCCCAAAAGGACCTTTATTGAGCGAACTCTTCCAGATTGGCTCTTTATTGCTAGCCACCGAGACCAGATTACTAATAAAGAACCGTCTAACTAACTACGTAATATCTTTCATTATATTAAGACGGATATGGAGAGGCATCCCGAGGACTATAATGTTCGCACTGGGGATATTAACTGGGCAAAAGAAATCATGAGAAAAATCGAGCGGATTTCTTTTGCGTATGGATATAAAGGAAGATGCGGCGCTCGTTGCGGTTATAAGAAACGGGGATTCTAATATCGGCGGGAATGCAAGTGTAGTAATTGCGAAAATAAATCCCTGTAGTTTAATAAGAATTACGATTATGCAGAAAACAAGAAGTTATATGATAATATATATAAATATTTGTAATTATAACTAATAAGAATAAGCTAAGAATATCTCTAGCTCAATAACTCTAAAGGGCCTTAAGTGAGGGGAAGGGGGACATTTTTGCGCAGAGATAGCGTAACGGTATAGGTCACACTACAATTTCATAAAATTGTCCCTCGAGCTAGGAGGGGGGACAGTTTTATACAGAGATAGCGTGACGGTATAGGTCACACTGTAATTTCATAAAATTGTCCCTCGAGCTAGGAGGGGGGACAGTTTTACACAGAGATAGCGTGACGGTATAGGTTACACTGCAATTTCATAGAATTGTCCCCCGAGCTGGGAGGGACAGTTTTATATAGAGATAGCGTAACGGTACAGGTCATACTATAATTTCATAGAATTATCCCCTTAGATTTCTTATTAATTAGCCATCGAAATTAATAAATAATATATTAATTATTTTAATTCGGATTTATATATATATATTTAATTACTTTTATAATTTATTAATAATATTATAATAAAAGGCAAAATTAAACCAAGAACTAACTACTTTTTTGCTTTTTTTTTATATTTAAAATCTATTATATAATTTAAATACTAATAGAATTATTAATATTTATATTAATTATTTATTATTTATTATTAATAAATATTAATTTTTAAATTTATAACTTATATAATTTATAAAAAAGTTTTAAATATATTATTTAATAATTATTATATTAATTTTAAGATAATTAAATTAATTAAATTAAATTATTTTTTTAATATATATTTTATTTTATTACTTAATATATTATTAATAAGAATAGCTTATAATTCAGGCTATTTAATTATTAAATATTTCTTTAAAAATAGCTTGAAATTTCGGTTATTTAATTATTAAAATTAATATAAATAGCCTAGTATTTAAATAATTAAATAGCTAAAGCTTGAGTTCTAATAAATAAATAATTAAAGCTTAATTTTAATAGCTAAATAATTAAAGCTTGAATTTTAATAGCTAAATAGCTAAAGCTTGGGCTTAAATTTAAAACTATAAATAGTAAGATAACTATTATAATAATTAAGAAGTTGAAAAGAATTATAACTAAATAAAAGGGCTAAATAAAGAAATATATTTTGGCTTTTATAATAAATAAATAGAAACTTCTTTATTTGAATTAAGAAAATAACTAGAGGCCTAATTCTTTTATTAATTTATTATTTTTTTATCTAGTAAAATATAATATATATTAATAAAAGAATCTAGTTTAAAATAAAAAGATAATAAATAAAAATATATCTTTCTAGTCTAAGCCAGGCCTTTTTATTAATATAAATTATATTTTACTAAATAAAGAAATAATTTAATAATAATATATATAATTATATTAAAAACAGAAATATAATAGTTTAAAATAATTTTTAGCTTAAATCTAAAATAAATTAAATATATTAAATATATTAATAAGAAAATAATTAAATTAATTATTATATTTTAAGCTATTTTATATTTAATTTAAATTATATTTTAAATAAGTATATTTAAGTTTAATAAAGCTATTACTATTTCGCGAATTCTATTTATAAGCTAAATATAATATATTTTTATAAAACTATTTTAGGGAAAAACTTAATAAAAATAAATATTTACTAAATTAGAAGTTATTTAAATTAAAGTATTTTGTATTTTTATAAGTACTTTAAAATTATAGCTCTAATAATTTTTTAGGCTAAAATAATTATATTATTAATAAAATTATAGCTTTTTAGTTTATTTTTATAATAGTTTATATTATTATATTTATATATATATAAATATATAATTAGAAATATAAAAATTAGAATTAGTATAAAGAATTATTCTAATATTATTCTAATATTATTTAATTATTATTATTAATTTATAATAATAGTTATTATTTAAAAAAAAATTAGATATTAAAATAACTATTTAGATTTATAATAATATTTATAAGAATTTTAAAACCAGAAATTTATAAATTTGTATTTAAAATAATTATATTAATAATTATATTAATATAATAGCCTAATATAAATAATAAAACTAGTAATTAAAAGCCTTTATAAATATTTAAAATAATAGCCTAGTTTATATTATTAAATTAATAAAATTTAAAAAAGCCCTAATAATAATTAGGAAAGCCCTAAAAAAAAACTTTAAAAAAAGTATATATATTTATAAATAACTAATTCTTTATTTAGATAATATAATAATTAAAATACTAGTTTAATATTTATTAGAATTTAATAAAGTCAAATTATAAGAAATATTAAATGAATTAATATTTTACTAGAAAATATATTATCTAAAATACTTAAAAAATAATAAATAAACTAGCTTTTTAAATAAGTAATAAAATATAAGAGCTTTAAATATAGAATTATTCTAATACTAAATCCTAAAATAAAACCCTTTTATAAAAGAATTCTTAAACGAGCTAGCTTTAAAATATAAATATAAATAAAAATAATAAATATTATTATAAGTATTTATTAGTATAGCTATTTCTTTAGGAGTTATATATATAGTTACGAGATACGGGATACGGGATATAAGTAATAGAATATAAGTAATGAAATATAGAATACGGGATATAGTTATATAACCTCGTATTTTATTAGTAACTCAACTAGTAAACTAGACCCCTTTAGGCTTAGTAGATTTAGGGATTATATATTAATACTATAATATTATAATTCTTATTTCTAAATAATAATAACTTTACTAACCTTATATAAATAGTACTTTTATACTTATATAATAGTACTATGTATTACTAGTAAACTAATACTAATTAGTTTATATATATAGATTAGAGAATAGAATCTTTTAAGCTAAAGAAGTATCCGGTAGCCTATAGTAAAATTAAACTAGTTTATATTAAAGGAGGGAATTACCTATTAACTTTATAAAGTATCCGGTAGCCTAAGAAAGAAAATAGCTAGCTCTTACTAAGGACTAATAACTATTTTATTAAAGGAGGAAATTACTTATTAACTTTATAAAGTATCCGGTAGCCTAAAAAAGAAAACTCTAGTTCTTACTAATTAATAAGTAATTAGCTATTTAATTATTTATTTATTTAACTATCTATTATTCTTTAAAACTAATTTCTTTTGGCCCTAAGACTATTTTCTTGGAACCTATCTTTTCTATTTATATAATACCTATATTTATAAGATATTTTCTCCGGAATATATACTTTATATATACCCTTAAAGCTCTTTAATTATTATTTTGATTTTACTATTAAATTAAGTTCTTTAAGTTTTAGATTTTCCCGGAATTATAATATTTCATTTCCTAAATTTCTTATTATAAATAAAATATTTAAGGGCAAAATATTTACTTTAATACCTATAATATCCCTAGATATTTAGGGTATCTAGTATCTAAACCAGGTATCTGGATATTTTTACTACTAAACCCTTTCTATAAACTTACTATAAACTATCTTACTTTTAAATCTTTCTTATTATAAATTATATATATATTAAGAAGGGCTTAATTCTAGGGATTTAATATAGCGGAACTATAAGATAAATATATATAGGTAAAGAAGTAGAAAGGTAATATTAACCTAATTACCTATAGTAATAAGAAAGTTCTAGATTACCTTAATACTAGACTATTTTAGTATAAGATAGAGAAGTTAACTAATAATAATTTCTGGGAATTATTTAAAAAGGATTTTAGTAATTTTAATCTTAAAGTACTTAATTATCTAAATTAATATATATTATATAAATTATGAGCTACTTTATAATATAATAGTATTTATATTAAATAAAATAATAAGGGACTTGCTATTATATAACCCTTAGTTAATATTATTTAGGAAGAAAAGTAATATATCTGAATTATAGCTAATATTATTATTACTAGACTAGACCTTAATATAGGCCCTATTACCTTATTATATATATTCCTTAATAATAGTATTATAAGAAATTAATAAACTAAACTAATTATTACTTATATTTCTTTATTACCTATAATTATTCTTACTAGTACCGGATTATAGAAAGTTAGTAATAACGAATTTCTATTACTTTTACTATTTCTATTACTTTTAAATAGCCCTTTAGCTAGCTCTCTTATTATAAAGCTAATTAGAGAAGTAGTAAAAATATATACCGAGATATAGAAATATAATAGAACTAATAGTAGTTTTAACTAAAAACTTACTATTTTTCTTAATATTTACTAATATATAGAGCTTTTATAAGAAGTATTAGTAAGAGCTTTTCCTATTATATTAAAAAAACTAGTATAAGATTACTTTTATAATAAC